ATGTTCAGGCTGGTAGCCAGGGACAAGCTGAACAAGAAGGGTACCCTACCCTGCCCAGCCCCAGCTCACCTGCATCCCGATGATGGCATAGATGAAGAAGAGCATGGCAATCAGGAGGCAGACATAGGGAAGGGCCTGCAAGGAAAGCAGAGACACTGCCATTAAGTCTAAGGTCAGCAGGCTTATCATCCTGCAGTCACTGGCCACCCAGGAACAGTTGCCTGGAAGTTGCATCACACAGAGAGCTGGGATTCTGTAACTACCTGGAGCTGTTCTGTTTTGGGGTACCATACTTTTGCAGATATTCATATCCTCCAACAGATCTGAAAGCTGTTGGTCAACCATTCAGCGATCTGTAATATGTACCATCTGTTATGAAGAGGCATTCACTCAGAGTATGACCCAGATCTTTAAGAAAAGCTGAGAGAATGGCCTGGGCCTGAGCTCCAGCCCACTTTGCATGCAGAACATTAATAACCTAGGCAATTGTGATGCAAATGATATGGCAAACCTCTAGAGTTGGTGTCCAGATCCCTGCATTACCCCTTCCCATCCTCCCTCCCTCAATGTGAAATCCAAAATCTGGCAGCAGTGTGAAACAACAGGGCTCTCAGTTGTTTCTCAGTTCCTAGAACATTCTCATCATCTGAGGAGACACCTTTTCCCAAAGTCAAAGTCTCCTCATGCTTCATTATGTGGCATGCAACATTCCAAAGAGCCTGGTTGGCGTTCACCATTGCAAGACTATGATGAAGCCTGTAACTCCACACCATGCATGCTTGTTGCCCCCTTGGGGGTGATAACATTTCAACTATGGGGGAAGGGTCAAGTGACGGAGACGCAGAGAAGTTTGGATTTGAGGCCAGGGTGGTTACTATAATACTGGGGTGACCCCAGTGCAGGCATGGAAGTCTGTCTTTCACATTTGGTGGGCTCCCTGGAAGACGGCACAACTGAGTCTCACACCCTCATGAGTGTGTACCACAGGCATCCCGGAGCCCAATGCAGGCTTTCAGACTGCCCGAGCAGCACAGAGCTTATCAGCAGAGCTAACTAAATGAAGAGCCTTTACCCCCTGAGTAATGGATAAAATTAAGGAGCAAAAAAAAGTTGTGGCAATGAAGCAATGAAGTGCTGGTTCCTAAGGTCTGCAATGAGGAAGGTGCCACATCCAGGGCTGTGGTGGCAGCTTCTGCTGCTGAAGGAGACAGGTTTCTTGCACCCTGGGGAGCTGCTTCCCTTGGCCCTTATTCTATCTTCTCGAACTCTAACATTTCTGACTCTGGATCATCTCTCCTACCCCCAGCTTTGGAGGTATAAACTCTGGTCATGGTATAAACTCTAACACGACATAAGGAAAAAAGGGAGAAGTGGCTTGGGTAGGGGCAGTGAGGGCGAGCTGGGTGGTGCCAGGGCTGGGTGGGAGACAGAGAGGCAGTGACAATGCTGTTCACACTGTGGGGCTCTCAGCTACATGTCTGCAGAGGCAGCCTTGGTTAAACCATCTTTAAGAAAACAACTTCTATATCGTGTTCCTGGCCTGCACCAAAAAGGATACACCTGTCCATTAGTGTCATCTGGAGGCGTGTTCACCTGTCTGCATTGTTCTCTCTAGTCACTGGGATAAGTGAACCATTTGACCATCATTTTTTGACATTCTTTTCTTTGTTCTCAATAGTAGAGAGTTTTTCAGAGATCTGGTGATGATAATATGACAGGCTGACATGTATTTCTTAAGAGACTCACTCACTTAACTGTAACTTCTTGGACAGGCCTCTAAAACAAGTGGGGGGAGATGCTTAACAGCATTTCATGTTTCAAATTCTAAATCCAAATTCATCTGAGACTCAAATAATAAATTCTTTCTCAGGCTTTAGAGTTCTCCTCTGTCATTTGGCTGTGGGAAAATAGTTTACATTGAGGTGAGGCCTCTGTGGGCGTTATCATCCCAAACAATGACTCAGGATACGATAAAAAATGTCAAGGTTGTTCTTAGGAGTCTGAACATCCTTACAGCTTGTTTCCCATCTCAATCCCCCAGGTTCTGAATGGAGTACTATTCAGTGGTAATGACAGTAATGATGGCATGGCGTAAATCCTATTCAGAATGAGGAGAAACTGAATTCACTGGTGTGTTGCCTTTAGTTCAGTTTGTAAGTTAAATACATAAAGAAACAAAATAAAGACAATTCAGTGAATCCACAATCTCTGCTCTTTGAATAAAGTTTATCAAATTTGAAAACATTCACTAACTTTTTCTAAATAAGAGAACAATAGAAGGTATTTGAACAGCATTTAGGTCCTTCAATCTTCATAATAATGAGTATGAATATATGCTGGAGTCTGAAATTATTTAAGTATGTCTTGAAACTTTTCTTTTACTAGAAGTCTCTGCCATGAAAGTGGATCTCAGATGTGATATGATGAACTCATATTTCTCACACACACACACACACACACACACACACACACACACACACACACACACACACACACGTGTTCAGCCCCATAGACCATTCAAAAGCCCTTCACTGTTAACCTTGCCCAGAATACTATTTGTTTGTAGGACACAGGTGCCATATACTCAGTGCTTCAGCAAACACACAGTAAAGATGACGTGGGAGGAATTGTGGGGGTGTGAGTCACCTTGCCATAAAATACAGTTTAGGGTGCTCTTTGCAAAGACTATTACATAAAACAGACTGTCCATCTTTGAGTATGTAGAGGACTTGTGGCCACAGGAGGCTGGCTGGATGCTGGAGAGGGCTCGCTCAGGATGCTCTGGGATTCCTTAGGAAGAAACCACCTGACAAAACAAGACCTCCTGCCTCAGCAGACAAAAGATCAGTGAGTTGCCAAGTTGCAGTGTTTTGCAAGAATTAGATATTATCCAGGGAAATATAAGCAGACCACTGTCCAGACCAGTTATGAGTGATGAAGGGGAGCTATGTCATTTGATAGTTCAGACACTCGCTCCCAAGGTAGAGGGGCCTGTGTAATGACACTGTGTCACCTGATGTGCTGCTTGATGAGACAGCCTCAAGCCTCAGGGAGGGAGCCAGGGCTCTTACCTTGAAGGACTGCACGAAGGTCCAGAGCAAAATACGTATTGTGTAGCCTTGCCGCAAGAGCTTGATGAGGCGGGCGGCGCGGAAGAGCTTCAGAAAGCTCATGTTGAAGCCACTGGTGTTCACCAGCTGGTGGACCAAGAGGAAACAAGTAATTAGTGATATTATTATGGTCATTTAACATTCTTGTACTTATCTCTCTTTCAGATCATGAAAGTGGACATGGGTTCTGTCTTTCATTCTCAATCCCAACTCCAGCCAGTGGGCCAGTGCAGTCTCGTGCTAAGCTTTCCTCGGCCTGCCTTCATTTCCCACACAGTTACTGCACATGGTCCTCACTCTGCACTGGGAGGCCAAAAGTTAATAATCCCTCTAGCTCAGGATGACTCTCCAGTATTTGTGAGTTACAATAAGCTCTCCAAGTCATCTTTAGGATGAACAATTTTAGGGAAATAATCCAGGCAGGTCTAAGGAACTTGAGAACAAAGTTATTATTCTCTTCTATCTCCCAAAGAATCTAGCAGAACACAGTATGTAGCCAGTGCTCTCCTGGAATCATCTATGCCTTGTACCCCATTAGATGCCTGCTTGAGTCATGCAAATATAACAAAAACCTCTCATGAAAAACCTCCATGAAATCCAGTGTTTAATATTAGCATTTCTGTCTAAAGCTCTAGTGTGAGGAAGTGAACTCCCAACTTGGAGGACTGCACACATGGTTTGAAGAGTTAGAAAATATATAGATTTTTTTTTTAACTATTCCAGGGCCAAGCTTAAAGAGAAGGATCTAGGAGTCACTTACCTTGCTGTCGGTCAGAATAATTTCCGTGATACTGCCAATGACGGTGATGAAGTCAAATATATTCCAAGTGTCTCGGAAATAGTTCTACCAAGTAAATTCAGTCACAGGAACATCCCAAAAAGGGGAAGAGAAAGGGACAAAAATGGAGAAACGACACCTTTCATCATATAACCTTGCCACTTGGAATTAAAACTTCTCAATACATGTACAAGTTCATTCTAACTTTGACTTCAGTTTCCTATTTCTAACTAACTAGAAAATCTCTTTCTCCTTACTAATGTAGGAAGATCTGTTTGGGAAGCAGTTCCATCATTTGCTGGCGACCTTGTTTTTGAAGCTGTCATTAAAAAGCTCCTATGTAAGAAAGGGGCTGATGACCAAGGGCATAAATCCAAACAACAAAGATTGTCAGTCACCCAGAAGACAATCAAATTATTTACAGTATCACTAAGATTCCCTGCCATGAAAATGTTACATTAGCTATATTGTGTCACATGACCCTGTCAGTACACAGTTCCAACTTTCAATTAGAATAAAAGTCACAGAAATTCTAAGTGACTAGAAATTGCAGATGTGAGAGGAACTTTCTTCAGACGAAGTACATTGTGCCTTTTTCTGTTTTGCAAAGATTTATTTATTTATTTATTTATCGAGCCTTTTCAGGCCAACTGCTGATCGGCACTAGTTTGAGTAGACTTCATCTTTCCCCTTTCTCTGCTCTGTTATGCCCTTTGAGGAGGAGTAACTAAGTAAGATAGAGGGAAGCAGTAATGAAATGACTGGGCTGAAGGAGCTGCAGGAGGAATAAAGGACCTGGGAAATCCACCAACCAGATGACACTCTGCTTCATAAAGAGTGGGCTGTGTACATGTTGTTTGCAGCAACATGGATGGAGCTGGAGAAGATCACGCTTAGTGAGATAAGCCAGAAAAAGAAAGAAAAATACCGGATGGTTTCACTCATAGCAGGAGTATAATGGACCAGGCAAGAAAATAATAAAAATAATGAACAGCCATATACATTTTGTGGGGGTGGAGTGGGGAATGGGATCAAAAATGGTAGGGGGAGGGAAAATGCACTGGACTATGGTGATGGCACACGGGTGACTTGGTGATGGGAAACACACGGGTATTACAATTGAGATGAAAAAAAAATGTACAAGATGATGTAAAAATAAACTTTTGTAAAAAAAAAAAAAGAGTGGGCTGTGTTCCCAGCCACAGAACTCAGATGAACACATTCTTGGCTCACAGTCCTTCAAAGAGACTGGACACCAGGTCTCCAAATAGTCACCGCTTGTTTGGGAGAGCACCACCCATAAGAGCCTGGCAGAAGTGCTCCCCTGCCCTCCTCACGTGGGGCAGTAGTGACTCTTCACTGTATGTGCTGGATGTGGGACCAGGTCCTGGCAATCTCTCAATTCACTGACTCTTCCCAGGGATCCTCTAGGTAGTGATACAACCCCCTTCTCCAGAGCACACCGAGTGGAAGGGCGGGCAAGTGGAGTAGGGAGAGACACGACAGAGCGCATGTGGGAGAGAAGCTGTACTTCCTGAGCATCTATGAGAACAAGATGGTCGGGACCCGGGGCACATTACCTACCTGGATACACACTGCAGAGCATCTAAGGTAGCTGTTGTTCTCATTTTATGAATGAGAAAAGTGAAGCTTAGAGGGGTATCTGTTGGGCACGCAGGGAGACGGACAGCCTCACAAACTCACATCTGTTAAGGACAGACGCCTCCTAAGGATGGCACCCCCAAAGAAGGGAAGACAGCCTAATACTGGCATAGGCTCTGTGACATGCCAAGGTCCATGTTCACCTGAGCTCTGGAGCTGGAAACACAGCCCACGTCCTGTGAGGCAGAGTGTTATCTGGTTGGTGGATTTTTCAGGTCCTTTATTTCTCCTGCAGCTCCTTCAGCCCACTCATACTGATTCCCTGTATCAGATCTAGTTACTCCTCCTCAAAAGATACAGAGTGGGGCCACAATGAGTTTGAGTTTTTTCAATTCTCAGGGGGTCTCTTTCATTCCCTCCCTGGGATGAGTGCCTAACTCATGGCAAGTCCCCACATAGTACAGAGAACACAAACAGGTTTGCATCAGAAGGATGCTCTAGAATAACACACAGTTTAGAATAGCATAGCACATAGCAGATTGTGGTGGAGAGTGTGTGCACTCCGGAGGCAGGCAGACCAGAATCTGAGCTAAGACTGCCTTTCCTCTGCCTGGGCAGAGGACTAGTGATCTCTGAGCCCTGGTTCACTCATAAAATAAAACAATAAGGCCTGATGAATAGAGCTGCAAAGCATTTGGTACTTAATGGATAACAGCATATATTAATTATTCTTCTCCCTTTTACTTCCCCTCCTCTTTCCAATTCTACAGCTTTTTATCAAATCTTTAAAATGTTACTTTTTTTTTTTTTTGCTTTTCAACTTCCTCATTTAAAGTAATAGTGATTTTATCTACCATGCCTATTTCAGTCATAAAGAGTTTAACAAAGCAGAGTGTATCAGCGTATTCTGGAAACCTAGCATGCTATGTCAATGCACAGACATTCAGGACTAGCAGTGTCTTTTATAGCTTGAAAATGCCTCCAAACCCTGAATGAAATGTGAGGGTGAGGGTGGGAAGGAGGCAGGCATGGGGCCGAGTCATCTAGTTAAGCCTATAAGCATGTAGTCAGCATTCACCATAATTAGACACATAATTGGGGACTTAAGTCACAGACAATGTCAATACCACATGCAAGTAATCAAGAAGCATAGAAAATCTTTCCCTGTAATGGCACCAGCTTCTCTCCGCCCCTGCCCCCCCTGCTCAGGGCATTTATTATAAAGCATCTTTGCTGGTAGTAGTTGCTTTCCGCATTTTTTAAATTTCCTCACGTCTCAAAACATTCAGAAGGGAGTCAAGCAAACAACAATATCTTCAATGGGTTCCCTTCAACTCTCCTCCCTAAACCATCAAGTCTGTGACGTTTCAAAGAACCATTAAGCAGTCAAAAGCAAGCCTGAAATCTACACTCCCAGCTCTCAAGCCCAGCCAGAGTCCCTGCTAAAGTTGCTACCAAACATACCCTGATTCAGATAATAGCAAAGTTTCTGTTTGCAAGAAAAGTTCCTTACACATGTAATTTGAGATGGTAAATCACACCAAGTGTGATGCAGCTGTCAAGTGGATTTATCTGCACCCTGCTGATCCTGTTTGTAAGTGGGGCAGAGAGGGGTTGGTGGCACAGGGCAGTGATTTTGTGTATAGGACACTAAAGCAAAGGGCTAGGTTTACTGGACACTCTGGAGAACAGATGCAAGAACTTGCCAATTATAATCAGCAGTTGAAGTAAAAGGAGGATCCATACCATAAAAATACATATCATGGCCCTCCCTGGTGGCACAGTGGGTTAAAGCACAGCACTGAGAAGCTAAAGCCACTTCTGCATGAGTTTGATTCCCGCCTGCCCTGGAGGTGACCACATGGCGTGGCAGACCTCTCCTGACCCGCCCGCTGCTCCCCTCAGCAGTGTACTTCGTCGATCTGCCTGTTCTGTTCCCCACTCTGTCTCTGGTGAAGCCTCTCACTGCCCCTGAGCCTCTGGCCTGTACCCCAGTTCTGTATGCACAAATAAATAAAGCTTTAAAAGAAAAAATACATATCAGCCCACCCCAAATCCAATGGCAGAATGCTACCCACCACCCTCCGCACACACCCTTAAAAGTCATCGAGTTTATGAAACTTTTTTTTTTTGCGTTGGCAGAAAGTACTTTTCATGTGGCTAATGGGAAAAAGGTAAATAGGTAAATTATTATCTGTTATATCTGAGATTACGAGAGAGAAGATATTTTCCCATTTGAGTTGTGAAATTCCTAGACCTTTTATTAGTAAATAAACACTCAAGGTTTATTTTTTCCTTACTATCATCCTTGACTGTCTTCCCTCAACCCTGGCAGCAGATGACAGGCTCAGAGGCGGTGACCTTAAAGGTATGGGCTGGGGCCTTGCACAAAATCTGATCTCTACGGCAGATGGGGCGATAAACACCCTTCATCCAAAAGAGGCAGGGAACGCAACCCAAAAGAAGGGAAAACAGGACCCTCCCTGGTGGTGCAATGGGTTGGAGCGCAGCACTGCGAAGCTGGATGAGGCCACTTCAGTGTGAGTTTGATCCCCCGCCCTGGAGGTGATCCACATGGCGTGGCAGACCTCTCCTGTCTTGCCCGCTGCTCCACAGTGAACTTCCTCAATCTGCCTGTTCTGCTCCCATCTGTCTCTAGTGAATCCTCTCACTTCCCCTGTACCTCTGGCCTGCACCCCAGGTCTGTATGCATAAATCAATCTATTTTTTAAAAAAAGATGGGACGACAGCCTGGTACTGGGATAGGCTCTGTGACATACCAAGAAGCCAAAGGCGATGACCTTGAGAACACATTCCAGGGAAAACACCATGGTGAAGGCGATGTTCAGGTACTTCAAGGCTAGCTCGTAGGTACAGGGCGCAGAGTAGTACTGCCGCAGAGAGAAAAGAGGGGACAAGGAATCACAGGCTGAAGGTGAGGGGGCATTCCGTGCCACTGGGGCCAGCCATCTCTTACGCCTGCCCTTGCGGACCCTCTGGCATGAGGTGTACAAGGAGATGGATGCCACGCATGAACAGGACTCCATATTCTAATGGCGAAGCAAGACTGAGGCAAACACAGACAAGCTTATCAGCCAACAGCCCATCTTCCTAGAGATGAAGGTGGTGGGGTGGGAACAATTTCTAGAGTTAATTATTATTTAGCATTAACAGGACCAAGGCTCTTGGCACGCTCCATGGAACCCTACACTCATCTGTCTTCCCACGTTTCCCCGCCTAAATGACTGCCATCACCAGCTGTGGTCTTGGGGACTACTGGACAAATGGTTACTATGTTTCCCTGCATTTTGCCCCAAAGACCCAGAGACTGGGCTGTCAAATCAGACAATACCGAAAAAGAGATTCCACGACAGGAAAGCAGGTGAGGCGGTGGGGGTGTTTCCAGGGTGGCAGGCGTCCAGGCCAAGGTGTAAAGGAAAAGCCCCAGGCACCAGCCCCCCCAAGGGCCCCGGGCAAGGCCTCTCACCTTCATCATCAGCACCACGGTGTTCAGGGCGATCATGGCCATGATGGTGTACTCGAAGGACGGGGACACCACGAAGTGCCAGACACGGTACTGGAAGGTGTGCCTGTTCTGAGGCATGTAGCGAGTGAGTGGCTTGGCGCTGATGGCGAAGTCAATGCACGCCCTCTGTGGGAAAGTCACAGCCGTGAGCCCCCACACCCTTAGCCTTGCACCCTGGGGGGCTCTCCATAAGATGGCTAGAGCGCATGGCACGTGGGGCAAAAAGTGAGGGTTGGGCAAGGAGAAGTCACACTGGCAACAGGGATCATCTGGGCAAAACTATGGGTGAGGTGCAGAATACAGGGAACTGGAGGGGACTGTCACATGGTCATTCAAGGTGTCGCATCACACAGCGGAGAGGTACAGGCAGGAAGTCTTACCCATCACCACTCGTCAGAAGTGGAAATCTGTCTCCCTGTGCATTCCCATAGCCCTAAGCATTTCTCTTATAATCTCTGAGTGTCTAGTTCAGTTTCAGTATAAAACTACTGAATACCGGACTGTGCCAGAACTATGCTTGTGGTTAGAAAAATGGTAATAAACCAATCATTTTCCCTGCCCTCGTAGCAAATACATTCTGCTGAGGGACACAGCCAGTGAGCGGTCAATTTAATATTATACTGTTCAGGCATCGGGCACCCTGCTTCCAGACTCTGTTCTGAGCAAAGGAATGGACAGCATCTTCAGTACCTGATAAGCTTCCTGGCTCTCTGTAGCCCCTGCCTGGGAGCATAGAACATACCCAAAAAGTCTTTCTTTAATGACTGAATCATTAATGTTCCCTGCCATCTCTCTCTAACTCTTAATAGGAAAAACCAGGCTTTGTTCCTAACACCACTGGGGGCCCCCCTGCCATCTGTGCTCAAGATCCCTTGATTACCTCATTCTTCTCCAGGCTACACTCCTCCATCATCTTGTCCCCTTGCTCCTGGAAGGTGATGATGATCAGAGCCACAAAGATATTGACAAAGAAGAAGGGGAAGACCACAAAGTAGACCACGTAGAAGATGGACATCTCCATGCGGTTGCTGCGGCTGGGCCCTCGGTCTTCCTCTGTCACATCCACCGAGTGCTGCAGAACTCTGTGAGGCAGAGGGGGGAGGGGAGTGCCCGGAGGGTGGAGGCAGTGTCAGCAGCTAGCTGCTCAGACTTGACACTCATTAGGGGATTGCCACCTAGTCTATTTTCTAATCTGACTTCCCCACCTGAAGACCCGCCAGTAATGTGGGGAGGCAGGGTCACAAGTTGGTGAAGATGCAGCGAATCCCAGACACTGCTCCTGCTCTGTCAGGCATTCAACTCCTAAGGCTCAGCGTAACATTCCTACAGAGTTTAGGTCATCACATGCAATACCAAGAGACTTGGGGTTTCAACTGGCATTTTGTGACCAACTAGAATGTGTTGCTGCCCAAAAGGTGTGCACTGGTAACTGCCAAGTCTGAGAAATCAGACTTCAGCTATAGGCAGCACAAGAAGTTTTGTTCTGCTCTCTTCTCCCTGATCACAGAAAGTGTCGCTGGGTTCTGCCAGCTCATTTTTAATCCTCAGTTTTCAGGTGCAGGGCCAACTTGGAGGGGAACCCTACCCAAAGCTACCCTGGGGACTCTCCTCAGGGGAGGAGAGCTGTTCAAAATTCTTATGTTCTAGAAGAGTCAGATGACTCCACTGAAGTTCTCAACAGTCGGCTAAAACATTTAGAGTTTCAAACCCTTTGCTGACTTTGTTATCCCTCCTGATTTCTGCCTGAAGGAGTTTCATTCTCCCTCTCTTCTGCCTGTCTCACCCACTCAGACACTCACTTTGCCTGGTACAATAACAAGAGGTTAGCCTTGTTCAAATCAGATCAGCTTCTCAAGGCAACCACGTGGCCAGATCCCCGTGTACAGAAAAGCACGTCCACCAAGCCCGTCACTCACTGCGGCCACCCTTCTCCCGTGGAGACGGTGAAGAGGGTCAGCAGGGCCCAGATGATGTTGTCATAGTGGAACTCATGGCGCTTCCACTCCCGGCCTTTTACTTCCATCTTGTTTTTCTCATGATCGACATAGTTGCCTCTAAAGCCGTAACAAAAATAAATAAAAGAGGGTCTTTTCAAGCAGCTATTTAATGGAGAAAGGAGATCCTGTGAACTTCAATAATGTCAGGTAGGTATGGCTGGAACTCCTTGTGTTTACAAGGAGGCATAGAAAATGGGATTTGGTATTCAACAGACATGGAAGATTAAATCCTAATCCTCTGACTAGTGTCCAAATAACCTTGAGCTGCTGACTTACATTTTCTGAGCCTCAGTCTCCACATCTACAAAATGCAGATAAACCTGTCTCTGGAGGCATTACCAAGATTTAAAAATGAAAGACTGAATGGAAAACACCGTGTATCAAGTCTGGCACAAGAGGTGCTCCATGTTGCCTTTTTCCTAAAACCAAGTGGAGACAGGTAGCAGCGAGCGCACAGACCTACCCGCAAGGGTGAGTGGCCTCCCTGGAGCACACTTTAGCAGAAAAGCAAGTGGCAGCTGCACTTACATGCATTCCTTCTCTGTGTCCTTGGAACTGTCTGTGCAATAGAAGAACTTCCCCTTGAAGAGCTGAACAGCGATGACAGCAAAAATGAACATGAAAAGCTTGTAGACGATGAGTATGTTGAAGACATTCTTCAAGGAAGTCACCACGCAGTCAAAGACAGCCTGCGGGGGAAATGGACCTGCCGTGTCTGTTGTCGTTGTGAGGGCCTGGGTGCGTGCCCAGAGCTGAGTTGGGACCACTTCAAGAAGTTTCCCCCGCAGGTTCCATCCCACTAAGAAGTAACAATCATGGAATTCAGGGCTGCCTCCTCAACTGGTCATAATTGCAAGAACTTACCTCCTGGGAAGAACATATGCCACGAATCTGAAAGCCAACTGACTCAGCAGAGGGCCTCTGGCCTAAAGGGAGCTCTTTGTGGGGTCCTAGGCGGTACATGTAGTGTGAGAGCAAAGCTACTGGCTGCAGAAAGGAATCTTTGAATTCATTTGGTCCATTTTAGCCAACAAACGCCATGTCCCTGATCTCCCATGGACTTGGTGACATTCTTTGACTCGGTGCACACACTGGCTTTCTCATTACCTTTCTGAGAGGATCAGAGAAATCTGAATATAACAGAGGGTTGTAAGAACCTAGCACCTCTGTTCATTTTAATAAAAGTTGTAGTAATTTCAGACACGTGCTCCATTTAAGTTCAACACTGCATGTCAACAAACTCCATTTAAACCTGGCTCTCCTGGGGATGACGCTTCAGCAGGTATCGTGGAAAGGAGTGAGAGCAGCCTCACTGTCACAAAGGGGAAACAGCAGAGCCAGGGATTTGTACCCCGGTGAGAGATGCCTCCCTCGAGGCAAATCCATTCTAGATCCTAAGCCATCAGGAGTTACATGGGAACCTGACACATTTCAAGCCATTTTTAGGTTATTTTCTAGGTTTTTAGGTTCAGCTCACTGGAGAGTCTAGACCCATGGTGAAACCAAATTTGTGCATTTGCTTCTTCACAGCGGGCTGAACATTCTGGTTTAATTAGTTCACCACTGCGGGGGAATGTGAGTGACACGCAGCCTTGTGGAATCATCTCAGCCACCTACATTTCCCTCAGGTTACAGGGCTGCAGAGAGAGGAGTCAGCCCTTGCTAATTAAATGGAATTAAACAAGATTGCAGGTCGCCTTCTCCAGCGTGTTAACTAATGTCACCAGGCTGTGCTGCACTCTCTTTGGGACACCAACACAATCCAGAAGAGAGGGGCCCCTGGAGCCTAGAAGAACTGACAGCAGTGGTCAGGGCCCCAGGTCTCCTGGCCAATGTTTATTAGGGGCTAAGGCAGAAAGGAGTGACCATTTCTGGGCTGACCCAGGCCAGGAGCAGGGCACGTTTACCTGGCAGAAGGGTGGGCTGTAATGAGTGGAGTGTGAATGGTTTCAGGACAGGTGGGTGGTGCCACTCTCTGGAGGGCAGGTTGGGCAGTGAGGGAGGAAGCAGCACAAGGTCACCTCCTTTGGAGCCTGAGCATCTCCTCAGAAATCCACAGGGGACTGGGCCCTGGGCTCCGAGGAAGGCTTGTCTCCATCAGTTTGGCTCTTTTCGAAGTTAGTTCCTTTCTGTCCCAAGTCTTTGAATAACTTAGTTGATGGTGCCACCTCTCTGCAGAGCCAGTGGGCTGATGGGGAAGCAGGATCCCAAAGTTAGTGTGGTGGGATGGGGGAGGGTAAGTGGAAAATATCAGATGAGTGGAATCCATTTCCAGTGGGAAATGGAATTGGGAGGGGGAGGGAAGGGGAGCGGAGGGCGAGCAGGAAGCATGTTACAGGGCTTCTGGGTCTTCTTATGGGGACCACTCACACCAGCTCAGGGCCACATCATGAATATGTGAATGACAAAGTATCTCCAGTTTCCTTTCTAAGACAGTCAAAGAATAACTAGCCCCAGTCCTTGTAGTCCCCAATTCTCAGAGCTGGGTCTGATGCTCCAATGGCTTCTTCACCATGTGAATAGGGATTCTCAAACTGTGCCATACTGCAGTCAGCTGGCCAGAGGCGTTAAAGCACACTCTAAGCCCTGCCTCAGTCTGGTTCTGTTGCTCTGGCCTGGACCCAACCATTCACATTTTCAGAAGCACCAGGTGGTCCTGATAAAGGAGGATGTGACTGACCTCCAGAAGACTGCTCTGGCCCACGTGTCTCTGCAAAGCCAGGATCTCAACCTCCTAGAAAGCACCGGATGTGCCCCTGAAGATTGGCACAGGCCTGGCATTATGCCTGCTGTGTGGCCTGGGCAGCAGCAGAGGGACTTGCGGGCTGGTGGTGGCTGGCTCTCATTCACAGGAATTCAACCTTTCTCCCCGGAGGCTCCAGCTTCCATTAATAGCAGTGTATGTGTACAGAAGGCAAGTCCAGCCCACTAGCAAACACAATTTAAATGGTAAAGCTCACAGTGGGAGGACTTGGGAAATTTCCCAGGGGCAGGAGGAGCCAGGGGGTGCACGGGGGGTGCTGGCCAGGTAGGAGACCCTAGGTAATAAACCTACTAAAATGCAGGTCCACTAGAAGAACTTCATTCATCTTAGACCTACTTCCCCCAATTCTCTACTCTTTACAAAAATCATTCTGTGCTTCAAGAACATGAAGAGTAGGGGCTAGGAAAGCTTCTCTTCCTCTTAAGTGATCGAGGAAAGAAAATACCCCAGGTGCAGACAGAAGACATTTTGGAGGCTTCTGTTTTGGAATGTTTTGTCCAAAGTCACACAGGGCTCTTCCTGCAGGTAGTTGAGACAAGAGGTCCATTCCTAAGAAGAATTCTCCAGAAGCAGACCCACTGTAACTAAAGAGAAGTGGTGGACCTGAAGCAAAGACACTTGGCAAGTGTTACCTTGAGCTTGGGCAGACGTTTGATGGTCTTCAGTGGTCTCAGGACCCGCAGAACCCTCAGGGACTTGATGGTCTTGATGTCCCTCCCCTTGTTGGTTCTGCAGGGGAAGGCCCCCAGGGACCGGGGGATGGGAGAGACATACATAAAAGTGACACTCACAAGCATGCATTAACAGCAGGAGGGTTAAGACAGGGGAGTAGTGGGCAAGCGGTCAGAATGTGGATCACAGTGACACCTCCACTCTGAGTGCACATCCTTATACACACGGACCCTCCCACACCCACAGAGGAAGCACGCAGGCACTCCCGCACACACATGTGCAGTACCTCCTCTCCCTAACAGCCCGCGTTAGGCAGCTCAGTGCTACCAGGTGACATTAAAGCAGAAGACAGACTGACTGAGGAACAGGCTAGCTGTCCACCTTGGATGCAGACCGTGCCCAGCCCAGGGCTTCTTCAGTGGTAGTCTCTCAAAAATATTCACTGGGCTGACCAGGCACCCACAGTCCTGCCCTTTCTTCACCTCTATGATTGTCAATTCTACAGAGTTCACTGTAATGTCCAGTGAGGGCAACATGTGAAAGGAAGTGAGGACACAGCCCTACTGCTCTGCTGGGCTGCCTGTTCTGGAAAAGCTTCTTGCCTGGACCTTGGCTCACACCCCACTTTTCTATGTGGCTGGCTCTTCCCACAGCCCCTCCCCATTCTGGCTGCTGCACAGCTGCAGAGACCCAAGCACACAGCTGGAGAAGGTCCAAGTGGCAGGAGACCCCCCTCTCCACCTTCATCCTCGCTTCACAGCTATGGCTCCCTATCCACCTTTTTGCAAAATTTTGTTTTTAATAGATAAAACATATTTGCCTTTTTATTTTTTATGAGATGATTAAAGCAACCCACATTTTCTCTCCACCCTGCTTCTCCCCCGAGATCTTTGCATTCAATTCAAACTACTGCAGTGTGTACAACCAACAGATAGTGGGAAAGCTGACACAGTAGTGAACTCACTATCGATGACCTTGGTACTTCCCACACGGGCACAGATTAGTATCACACTAACAGGTAGGAACTCCAAGTGCCTTCCCCAGCATGTTCTCATCCTTCCTGCCAGACCCACCTCCCAGGACAGTAGGATAGATGTCCATCTCCCCTTTCACAGAAGGCCAAGCAGGAAGAGATTTAGTATAGCTCAAAAAATGTCAACATTGTCCCGAATGAGAATTCTAAGATCCTCTTCATGTTCACAGGGTCATGAACTTCAAGTTAGTTTTATTCAACCCTAGATCTAAATATAGTTAACCCCAAGATTTTTGATGATAAAGTCTTTTAAAGCCAGGGGTTGCTATAAATGTATATTTTATCATTTTGCTGCATTAGATTTTGATCTCTTGGACATCCATGCAAACACCCTCTTAGGAAGTCACGAACCCTTTCCCAATGGGCCAGTTCCCCTTCCCTATCAATCTTACTTTCTTCTTCCAAACCATCCCTAATATAGTTTACTCCAAAGAAAAAGAAAATATTTACCCCAAAGCGTTCCTATGGAAGATCCCAGCAGAAAGCAGCAAAAAGAAAACAAAAAAAAAAGGGGGGGGGGAGAAAAAACAGACCATCAGAAAACTTCAGGGATGAAAGACAATCTTGCAATGCTGGGAAACTGGAGAATCCAGACCCAAGGGAGCCGCCTAGAGCCTTGGCACTTACAGACAGCCCCGCACCCATGGGGCAGCCAGCACACACCCCACTGGCTCTCTACACACCTCTCCAGCCTGCAGAGACCTGTGTGAGCACCTGCAAAGCTGCCTCAGCCAGATGGCCCATGGGTATTGTCCTTTCTTCTTGGGAGTCTTGTCCAGTGGGAAGTTTTCTAAATGCAGGTGTTTACTTCCTTGGTAGTCTTCTGACAAGCTTGCTGTTTACATTAAATTTATAAGAAAGATGAAGAGGAATCATGCTGCTTTGGGGCAGAAAGACCTCTCGGGAAAGGTGTTTCACATCATGGGGACCTCTTCCTGCCTATGCAGGATTTCATCTGCAGCCACTCTGAGAAAGCTATTCTGACATTTGCTCAAAGGGTCAATGAGCCTCAGAAAACTACTTCAAAACATGGGAGAATACATGAACATTACTGTCCCAATGTCGCACAGGATGCTTTCTGATAAGTTAAATGACCAACTTTCCCATTAGCTATTTACTCTGCAGTGGGAAGAAAAATCAGCCCAGCTCTAGGGGTGTGGCCTAACAGCAGCAGCCCGAAGGGCAAATGCATACATACATTTATTGAGACAGAAATAATGGGAGCTAACTTTTTGATTATTTGCTCTTGGCTGACTTAAGCCATTTTAGTACAACTCTCTCCTTGGACCTTCTGATAACTTCAGAACAAAAGTATTACCATGCCCATTTCATGGCTGAAATTCACAAAAGCTAAGTAACGCCCAGTGCCAGTAGAATGAGCTGGAACTTGAACCCAAATAGGCATGGTGCTGCGTGGGGCTATTAAGCCTCTGTCCTGTCAGGTTTTAGCTTCAGGCTTTCTCAACTGGCTCACCAAATTCTGGAGCTACGAAAGAGACCCAAAGTCCACATAATTGCAAAGGAAACTGAGGCCATAGGAAGATGTGCCTAGGATAAGATCAGGCAGCGAATGAGCCACAGATGACCCCCTGCCCAAGGACATTGACCATCTGACTTTTGTTCTTAGTTGCTGGTTGTTGTGAATGTTCCTGTTTCTCCCTGTCACTTCTTACACGTCTTTAATGTACCGGAGCCCTATGTTCATGCCATTACATGCTACACGCAAAGACTTCTCACGACCAATTTACTTAGGAAATGATCCCATACTCAAAATAATACTCATTTGTGCTGTAAAGGCTAAATGATTGGAGAACGAAACCCAAAGTCTTTTAAGCCATAAATACCTCATGTGATAATCTCCAAATGTTCAGAGAGCAGACAGACTACTTCCCCCTGAGTTCTAACAGTCTTGTCACACATGAGAGATGGTAGGTCAGCCAGACATACCTTTATCCCAATTAAACAGCATTGATGGAGTCCTTAATGGATGTCAGGTAGTCAATACACCACTGTGAGCAAGTGAGGTCCCTAGCCTCTCAGGAGTTACTAGTCTAGTAGGTAGACAGGTTTCAAGTAAACAAACAAGGAGGTATCTGTGAATGGAAGTGCTGCTAAGCACTTTCCTGCTAAGCACCACAGGAAAATGAAATCATTTGATCAAAAACTTTATCAAACAACAACGCAGATCTCCAGACTCTCGTATAGTCCTCAGATGCGAGGGAACAGGATCCATCATGAGGAGGTCGTCTAGGGTCACACGCTCCCGCCTTCCCTGCTGCTGCCCAGGTCCTTAACTGCCAGCAACACTTAAGTGGCTTCTCAAGAGTTCACCCCATTGATGCTCACATCATACATCTCTAGATAAACCACAATACAAAAGGTAAAAGGGGTAAGCTTTGCTGTTTGAAGGCAGATTCCTCACATATCTAGATAAGAAGCAGAATTTGCAATTGTGGGGGGGGGGGCGTCTGTGTTTTATCCCGTGTTTTGGAAAATGGGGTTTCTTGATGGTACGCTCTGATCTGAACTGACTGAGGCTGCCAAAGTACAGGGTGGGAGGCTGTTCATTCGTCCCATTCTGCCTCTCACAAATTTGAGACAGGAATAGTAATCAGACAGAGACCAAAAGTGAAACAGATTACTCATTGCTCTGCACAGCTTTCAAATAGGTCTCCTACTGCAGAGGAGTAGAGCGCCTGGTGACCACGGCATTGAGCCATCGTGGAAGAGCATGCTCAGTCTGCTTCAACATTATGTTCAGTGCCGATTTGAGAACTGCCATTTGAAATGAAGGGAGGAGTCAGGAGAAGCCGCCACATTTAGGCCCCATTAATTGAAATATATTGTAATTTACACATAGGCTGGGCCAAACTTCCTTGCTCAAATCCATGCATGTGAGTGACTGAAGCCATCGTCAAAGGCAATAAGAGGGGAAGAGAAATGTTTTATCAAACCAAGAGAACAACCTCTTCATTTAGTCACCTAGCTTTAGAAATAATTCATGTGCTTTTTACAAATCATTTAAGTATAATCATTTGGTAACACTTTGCTAGTCTTTGCTGCTGAATGTATAATCAGAACTTTTTTTTTACACTGCCTGGCTAATTAGTAAAATTTTTATCAGGTTTAAAAATTGACTCTAATGTTAAATTCTAAGGAAAAATTCACATGCTCGGGTTCACTGGTCCCACTTTAATGGAGAATCAATTGGGCCACCCATTTTCCCATTTAGTTCCTCCCTATTTGGTAAATTTCTGGCTACTCTCCAGGAAAAAGTGCCACATTTCTCTTGTATCTCATCAGTTAAAGATGAGAATTTTCCAGCTCAATTGTCAAGCTTCTCTTCAGATCTTTCTCATGTAATCACTCATCATTCACTGCAATCTTCAGCTTCCCGATCCCCCTTTACTCAAGCCATGTTCACAAACTCATTTCTGCTGGGAAAGGATGTTCCTTCCATGGGGGGCAGAGAAGGGACATCAGGTTCTGAAGACTCTGTCCTCCTTGAAATGGCCCAGGAGGGAACAGCACGGAGGCCGACAGGGATGCCTGGCACTAGAGGAATGGTCACGCCTGCTGGACAGAGGGTCTGCTGTGAGGAGCCTCACGTGCCTTGCTAAAGTGCTGGGCTACCACTTGGTAGATAACAACTGTCATTTAACATGTACTTACTAATTAGTTGGAACTATGATGGACACAAAGTGTATTTTACCATATTTGAGTCCCACAGGACCAAAAGAGAGTTATGTTTAATTTTTCCTTACAGGTGAGCAAGTGTAGGATCAGTGAGTTACAAGAGTTCATGACTAATGGGCTGGAATTCAGGCCTGCATTTGCCGACCATGAAATCCACGCTCTTATTTTGGATGTGACTCCATCTTTTCAGACTGAAACCACTGGAGAGTTTTAATCAAAGACACAAACAGCAAAATAACCCAGTATTTCTGAGCTCAAACACTGAGCTATCAATCCTATGGCCTTTAGCAGGTCTAGGGTCTGTGAGGGCTCACGGGGAGACAAATGGCCCAGATGAACATCAGGACTGACAAGGTCACAGATGCCCTTCTCTACCTGTCCAGAGGCCTGGTCTGCCTCCAGGTAGACAACAGTCTCTGTAGGCTGAGGGGAGATCTAGAACAAGCTGCCACTTTGAGTTACAGGGGTTAATGGAACTAACTAGAACATGGAGGTAGAATGCAACTTACTCTAACGGAGAAAGCACTGAACTTGAAATGAAATTTTCAGCTGCTTAACAACTGACTTGGTGAATGGCTAGTCAAATGAGTCAAACCTCAATCAATAACTCAATTGCAAAACAGGACTGTGTGATGAGTGAAATAAAGAAGGAAAGCAAAAGCACTTTAAAAGTTCCCAAGACTTATGTAAAATGGGGAGGAAGTTTTCCCTTTGTCTTGAAAAGGGGAATTTGCATAGCTTGTCTCTAGAGAGTAAATTCTCTGGAACTTGGTAAGACTAGATCATGTGTGTGAAGAACTGAATTCCTCACTCTGACTTTGTCATGGCTCAGCTGCTGCCACCTGGGATTATTCCTGACACACCTCCATACCTCACCATCTCTTTGGGTCTATTAAGTAGTCCTTCCTTTCCTGCACACGGACCTTCAAAAGTTCCTTTTACACCATCATCATAACCTTTGAAAATTTCTCCTTGACAACACATAGCATCATAATGAAAAGTATTTTTACCCAAGCACTGGGAAGCAGGAGATGGCAAAGCATCGATCCATCTCCAAGCAATTTTGTTATTCAATTTGGTGAATACATGACCTAGTTTAATAGTTTCTTAGTCGTCTTCTTCCAAACATATCCCCAAACTCACCTGCTGGGTCATTCTAAGATGGCCTTGCTGCCGGCTGATGTCCAGCCAACAGATTCCTCCAGCTGGGGACTAATCTGTAATGCCAGGCTCTGCCACCATGAGTGTGGATGAAGCAGATGGCAGGCTCCTCACACGATCTGAGCTGATACTTCCATGGTCCCATCATGGAATCTTCTGCCCCAAGTGACTCCAAAACCTACTTTTAAATCTGGAGGCCGTGGTGGTGGGTTTTTCTTCTCACCCTGCAGCACTGAGCAATTCCTGCAGCTGTGGAGGGTGATTTTTGCACCTGGGCCTGATGAACAGACTTGTAAGCTGGCTTGGAGTGCATGGGGCCAAGTTCCCTAACTGGATCATTCATTTTGCTTGGTTCTGTGCCTACCTTTCACATCTGAACACTTCCAACGTGTGCACTGTGAATAAAGAGAATGCTGGAGGGCTGACATCCATTGTGCCAGATGGCTAAGGTCTCTAAGTGCACACTCTACAAAGGACTCCCCAAAAGCATCATATGCAATAGGCAACTTATTTTCCAGTGTTCACTGAAAGATATGCACACTGGCACTTAGTTCCAAGAGCAGGCTGACTGGAACCATCTCTTTCATAAATTCCCTCATGTGGCTCTGACATGGTCCCACCTTTTCCCTTCCAACCCCTATTTTCAAGGCCTCGAGGGCATAATAGGCACCCCAAGAGTCCATGGGCATTAGTTATTTTTAGGGTCTCTGGCTGGACACAGAATCAAAGTGACTTCAAAGCTGGAGTCATAAGGAATAACATCCTTTAATCTACTCACTGCTGGAAATTTCCAACTCAGTTCAGTCAGCATCCTAAATCCACAGTTAATGGGTTACCTGATGGCTACATTTAATTTTAATCCTCTGTTCTCTGCCATGGAGCAGCGGAACAGGATGACTTGTCCGGCTCACAGTAAATGGGCCTTTTAGCGTGAGGCAGGTCTTGTCCACTCTTTCTCCCCCTCACAATTAATGTGCAGTCACTGTCTGCTGAGACTCCCTTTCAGTTCAGGAAGAACAGGGGCTGTCAACAAAGAAGCCCCAAAGCAAAGCTTGAGGTATGAAGGGGCAGCCTCAGACCCATCAGCCAGTAAAGAACCGCAGAGGCAGCAGTCCGGACCTGGGCGACGTGCGTGTCCCGCAGTTGCAAGGCGCTGCAGGTGCGACAAGGAGCTAGCGTGGGGCCGCCCGCCACCACCCCACTCTCTCCTGTGCACACTCAGACCTTCACAAACCCACATCCCAGGGCTAAACCAGAGCCAGGCTACCACTTCCTGCGGCTCCTGAGGGCCCTTCCAAATCCAGCATCTGGGTCTGTGCATCCCACTGAGTGAATTCCTCACTAACTCCACAGTGCAGCTGGTTCTGGATGCATGCAAAACACGGCATCCGTCTCCCACACGCGGGCAGTGTCAAGTGTCAGGACAGTGGCACTCTTCAATGAAAAGAATGTAATAAAAGCTAATGTGGGAATTCCGGTTGCTTCTGGCATCAGGAGGCAGATTGACTCATGTTTCTCCTTCTGGCTAAGGGCCGAATAATGAAAGGCCAAGCGCGGCTGTGATCCAGATCCCCTGTGTGCCAGGGAGTCCTGACCTTACCTCCTGCCCTGCTACTACAGCAGACAGCGGTGGAGGCTTCAGCATCAGCTGCAGAGAGCCCACGTGCTGCTGGCCGAGGCAGAGGCCCCAGGGGAGGAGGAGGTGAGAACAGAAGAGCCAATTATTTTTCTTTGAAAACTCTTTGTGTTGACAAGCCATTAGAAGTGGTGAATTTACTATTTAGGATCCAGCCCAGAGCAGCTCACCTGGTGACTTGATTTGAGCCCGCGGTAGAGTGCAGCAACAGGAAAGCAGGGGTGAGGGGCCCGGCACACACAGATGCTCACACCTGTCCTCTCGTGCACTCCCTCCTGAGCTACAGCCCCTGCCCTCCTGCCTGCCTCATCCCTTCACGGGACAATGCAGATATGAATCCTGAGTCACCATCATCAGATGGAGGCTCATAAATTGGCAGCATGTAACTTCCTGATGAGACAGTAGGCTCCAGGCTCTCCCCCCTCCCCAGCCCAAGTGAGGGAAAGTGCTTGGAGCAGAGGCCAGGAATGCAAAGCTGGAGTCATCTCTGGTCTTTCACCCAGAAAACCAGGATGCAGGAATGCTGCCACCAGAGTGAAGACATTAGGAAAAGCTGCTCTCTACCTCCCATGGAAATTACAGAAGAATCCCTCTTTTCCACAAAGGAAAGATAAGAGAAAGAGTTCACAGATCCAGCCATTCACTAGATTTTTCTTGAAACCTCAAAGAGGCATTCACAGTTGGCAAACATTTTGTGTCTACATTTGGCCCCGGAAGCAGGGTGCGGCGATGCAGTGGGATAGGAAAGGCCAGGCCCTACCTCTGCCCAAAGGAGGCTGTGTTCTTACAAATGCTCTATAATGCAAACTCGGTGTGGACCTCAGAACAGAGGATTCTTGGCATTGCCTGCACTGTACTTGATCTGAGGACCAGCAGAGAGATTTCAGCTTGTGGCTGCTAAGGCTTCACCTGCCATCAGCACCAAAATCCCTGTGATGCTTCACAGGGTACAGAGAAAGAACAAGACGGATGAAAGCCCCCCCGCCTCAGCCTGTCCCCACTGATCTACATCAGAGGGGGACTGTGGGAACTAGGAAGACACACAGCGGCTCCCTCGGGAATGCCCCTCCAGACTTCTACCTGGTACCAGACACAGGAGGGGTATGGGAGAGAGACAGAGAGAGAGGGAGAAGGATGGAGAAAGAGAAAGGGGAGGGGAGGAGACAGAAACAAGGAACCAGCCTGTATTCATCTCTGTTTGCACACATGGATTCATACACGCTTTGATCCAAAATCCAGAGTTATGATGTGACAGGAGAAAGGAAGGAATGAAGGTTGCCACTAAGACCATCATGCTGGCTTAGCCTCGTGCTAAGCACTTCACACGTGACTTCTGTCTCCTTTCCAAGATGAGCAACTGAGGTCACTTGGGTTCGTATCTGGTTATCGTGCTCTAGGACATGAAATGGGGAGTAGAGCCTGAGATTTGGATCAGGGTCCACATGGCTGTCGCCCATACCCTCCCTGCCACCTGCCCTGCACCCCAATGAGCTCTGTTCTTCCTAAAGAGGTGGGGGATCCGTTCCTATAAGGGTCTCTCTTTGTCCTTTATTGCTTCAGAGACACAAATTATATGACTGAGATCAAAACAAAAGACCACGGTGAACAATGTGTGTATATAAATTAACAAAACCAGCAAAGAGGACTGACCAGATCTTTTCAAAACCTAAGAGTGGTAATTACCTCTACCAGCAAAGGTGGGGCTGCTTCACGAGAAGAGGAAGAGGTGCACGAGTCCCCCTTCAAAAAGTCAGAGCTGTGCTTTATTTCTCTTGCCGCGAGACTCCACACAGGGCCAACGTGAGGGAAGTTACCACGCACTTTTTGAGGTTCCCTTGGGAACAGCTCCGACAGGTCTCAGAGGAGTCTTTCCCTTTATGAGGAGCACAGGAAGGCCCACGCCACTCAATGCGGTTGATATGCTGTGCACGTGGGGCCGAGGGATGCTCAGCTGCCCTGAGAGACAGCCCAGCCCAGGGAACCAGCCACACTCAACCTGGCTCCTTCAGATGGGATCCCCATGACAGGGCAGCCATAGGTACAGCTCACTGCCTGGTTCTGGGGGCCGCCCAACTCTCAGCCCAGTCAGGGACCTATTAGAGGTCCGCAGAGTACTCCCCAGCCTAGACACTGGAAAAGGACATTTGCTGTTAATGCTCACCACAATCTTTCTCTCTGCCAGAAGAGAGGCGGAAGGCTTGGTTCTCACATGCACTCCGAGAGTCCGGAGTGGCCGATGCTGCTCAGCCAGGGGCAGGGCATAGACACAGGCAGCTGCGTCCACCTGAGCTGCACACCAGCTGAGGGAAAAGACTGACGACATGCCCTAGCTACCCCCGACGCCTCCGAGAGCCCATTCCTTGGCTGGATTCATTGGAAAAGTCAGAATGTGGGTGAAAGCCTGCTATGGCTGGATGGATTTGAAGAGCCCCCAAAGTATAATGAACCTGGTTTACTGGCACCCGAATGGGTGAAGGCTATGTTTCTAAGCCTGTTATCCAGGAAGTTGAGGAGCATCTTTCCTTCTGAACGTGCTAGTGTCAATAAGGTGCTTATGTCCCTGGGAGAACTCCGAGGCATCCTATTCCTGGGCAGGGAACACCATGCCCAAAGCAAGCCTGTGGGCCTTAACTCTATCTTACTTCCCAGATGCCCACCATTTGACAGAATCAAGAAATGAAAGCGCACACCAGTCACCCCTGGGTCCCATCCGAAGACCACGGTGGCAAGCACCAACCCACAGGCACTCAGGTACGGCAAGGACCTCCCTACCTCCTGCCCCTTCCCCTCTTCTCGCCCCACGGGAACCGATGCTGCAAGGCTCTTAGGGGGAGCTTTTCAGGCCAACATTTTTAGCTCCACTCTGAGTGAATTACTTTTCAGGCTGGCACTGGAGGTGGCCTGACACCCGCCAGGATCCGGGGTATAAATCTAAACATGAAGAGTGCTACTTACGCCAAAGCGAAGGCCACCAAGGCTCCAACCACCACCACGAAGTCCAGGATGTTCCACAGGTCTCGGAAGTAGGACCCGTCCTGCAGGATCAAGCCCTGGTCTATCATCTGCGAGAAAGGAAGGTGAACAGCCACAAGTAAGCCAGGAGGGCGTGTCGGGCACACCCTGAGTGCCAGGGCTCCTGGGTGATGCCTCCAACAGCCAGTGTCATTGCCAGGCCCAGCCCATTTCTGGGCTGTGCAAAGCAAGAGGACGCAGTCCCATGGAATCGTTCCACAGATCTGTGAGGCCCGAGACCTCTTCTTACAGCACCAGGGTGCAACGAGATTCCCTGGAGGTCACAGACCCGCCACCTTTCAGTACTGGCTCAGAGCTCCAGACATGGCCTCAGTTGTACAGACGGGCAAAACTCCATTTGGGGGAGGATTAGGATGCTGGGGAACAGACGTGGGTAGATGGGGCCAGATGGTGTCCAGGAAGAGTCATGCTCACCTAACACTTGACATGTAGCAAGGGGCTCAAGCCAGCAAGCATGTGAGGGAGGCAAGTCCCCAATGCTGACTATTCCCTTTGCCAATCCAGCTCCTCCCTGGGCCATCTCCACAGCCCCATGCCACTCTACAGAGACTTGAGAGGGGCCCCAGACCCAAGGAGGTGGTCATTAGGTGGGTGGTGACAGCATGGGGGAAGGGTCTACAGGAGGGGAATGGGTGACCCATCCGTACCAGAGCCCAGGTTCTCTCGGGACTTTTACCTTTATAACCATTTCAAAGGTGAACACGCCAGTGAAGACATAGTCAAAATACCTCAGGACCTGTAAGACACATGTGATGGAGGGGGCCATGGGGAACCCGTGGGCTACACACACTTCCACCTGCCAAACACATGCATATTGCAGGCCCACCCGAACCTATGCATTTCTGCCTCAGGATGAATTGTAGTGACTGGGTGGACACAGGATGCAAAGCAACCTGGGGTCCTGCCGGAGCCAAGGACCTGGTGGTCAGTTCCCAGCCTTTCTCTCCCCTTAGACAGAACTCAACATCTTAGGCCTGAATTGTACCCCACACCTCTCCCCTAAACAGTGTGGCTCAATACCTGGATCCCTGGTCAGTTTCCACCCTCCTCCCTGCTCCCTCCTACGTCTGGTCAGCCTTGGGACCTCCAGGAGGTGTCTCAGCTCTCCAGTACATACACGTTGCCCAACAGCTCACATGAGCCCCACACCCACACCCTCAGGCTGCTGTGTCCCTGGGTGACTCTGTATGTGACCCACTGCTGAGCCATAAAGCTTTGCAGTGTCACGAAGAGGACTTGAGTGGAGGGGTCAGTCTTCAAAATGTAAACCCTTCACCCTGAGAGCCAGAACGGATGACATCTCAATCCTTTCTCCTTCCCCAGGAAGCTTCCTCCGTTCAACTTTAATGCTGGAATGGACACCCACTTTGTTACGCTCTGAGTTGGTCAGGACTGGGTCCTCAGCTGCCAGGGCGATGCTGCTGGCCGCAATGACCAGGAGAATGCACATCTCGAAGTAGCGCAGGTTGACAATGTAGTGGCAGGCCCTGCGGATCCTGCGGGGGAAATGGTTGGCTGAGCCAGCTGAGACTGCCGAGCTGGCTGCTCCTGCCATCCCACCCCACCCCCATGCACACCAGACTCCTCCAGACAGCCAGGCCCTCACGAAGAGGAGCCTGGGGAGAGCAATTTAATTTCTCAGGCACAACCCTTGATTTAAAGCCCCGTGGGGGGAGGTAATCAGATTGGTTAGAGCTGTAGTATGTAAGCCAAGATCCATTATCTGCAAGCACATCAGACCATGGGCAGCAGGTAGCACCAGGCCACACACACTCTGGGGGGCTACCTGGTTGCCCCCCACCTCCCAGCTGTGTCTCAAGGTTCACTCCCCCACTGTCTGGAAACTGGGACACAGCAATGATAAGAACCAAGAAGTGTAAAAATAGCCTGGATTCTAACAGTGCTGATGAAAGCAGCAACAGGTCTGCATGAGCCCTGTTTAATCTAGCGCTGTGACGACATCCACAGGCCATTCTGGCCTCGGGTGGCCTGACACACCCTCACCCAGGTGCCACCTCTCTGGACCCTGCTGGCACACTGGCCATGTGGTGAAGGGGAGCCCCATCTTTGGTGCCACTGAGGCTGGGCTGGCCTGCACTGTGCTCACTTCTAGGGCAGAGGCAGCTTTTCTTTCAAAATCTTATCTTTCCTGAATCAAACCTTTCAGACACTCATCAGCTACTCCCAGCTCATCCCCGGACCTCTGTGCTAGGGTCCCGTTCAGCATCACTGTCTCACAGTGTGACCAGTACTTTGAAACTCCAGGGGATAGTCTGATCTTTCTGGGCTCCGTGCTCTCGGCTCTGGCCACCTCTAAAATATTCGGGGACATGTCCTCAAGTGGACTCCTTTTACCCACCCACCCACGTTGCCCATTAATAAGTGGACGACCCTGTTCTGGTGCTTTCTCATGTTGAATGGCTCCTCAGACAGGCACAGAGTCCAGAGGAGGCTTACGTTCATGACCCACCTCACCTTAGCACCTGCTGTGTGTCTGCCCTCTCCCACCAGAGGAGCCAGGAAGCCGACAGGACCTTCACGCCACTGTCCTGTGCTCAGCCCCTGGCTGTGTGCCCCGCACCAAGGGAGGGTGAGGGCAGGTGCTTACGGGTTGGTGGTGCTGAAGATGAACATGGAGCTGTGGGGCACCATGGCTTTGCCAGTCTCCCGCTTCTCCTTCTTCTGCTTCTTCTTCTCCACCTCCTCGTCATCCTCTTTGATGTCTGCCTCCTTCAATGGGCTCGCCTCTCCATCAGTCTTGTTGCTAACTGCAAGGGGGACATTTGACACCATCACAAGCCTGGCTGCACGCGGGCTCCTTTCCCCGCTGGGGATGACAGGAAGGGGATGACACAGTGTTAAGCCCTTGTGCCCCTCACCTTGGTTTATGCAGGGCAGTTTTGTTTTGTTAACCACACACATGACAGTAACCACGTTTGCCCAGGTAGCAGAATAGTAAACAGAATGGTTGCTTGGGTTCTAAAATCTCAACTTGGTAAACTTACATCTGGATTCTTTTTTCGTATATCTTTACTTACTGAATTTGCGTATCAGTGCACCCTGGGAGGCAGGCCAGCATTATTCTATAGAAAGTTCTATATGTACCTACGTAAGTCGTGTATGTAAGTTACATGTAGCTGGTGTTCGGGGAAGGCAGGTACAAGATTTAAAGAAACCATGACTCCGTGCGGCTGCTTTTCTGGTTGTACTTTATTCAGCCAGGATTAATGAGTATGCCCTGGTCGCAGAATGTGGAACTGGGGCTGGAGGCTGAGTGAAGCTCTCAGCAGGGAGTCCTGTCTCCATACCCCAGTCAGCCCATGGGGTAATGGAAGAAGCTAAGGCCATAAACATTCAAACTGCTCCATCAGCACAACTACCCTGGACCTGTGTGAGCAGACCACCTAGGTTCTGCCCCTTCTAGGTCCTTCGAACATATAGGCAGAAACAAAAAGCCTTCTGATAACCTGCTCCTCACTATGACCAGCGCCACAGACTAGCCCCAGAGGGGGTGGGAGGACCAAGTTTTCTTACTACTCTTCTTCATAAAAGAGGCTCCAAAACACGTCTTACTTATAGTAATATACAATTGGACAGACACCACAAGAGGTCGTCAGCCTGAGACCCTGAGACAAGCTCAAGTCACCCTCAGAAGCACTGGCTATGAGAAATTTCACAAAATGTGTTGGCATTTTGATGTAGAGAAGGGGCTAGGGTGGAGATGGAACAGTGGAAGGCAGACACAGGAGAAAGATTGCCCGGTGAGCAAGAGAGATATGGAAAACATCAAGGGGGCGAAGCAAGGGTGTGACCCTGTGTCAGGCTATAGTGGCCTTGGGGCAGAAGGATCAGTGCTGGGATGGGGCTTCGGTCTGCGGTCAGGGTTGCAGGGGTGGAGTGGTGTGAGAGCAGTTGTGGGTGGAGATGGGTGCGGGGTGAGACCAGGTGTGGGTTAGTATGGGATGGGGTGTTTGTTTGGGGTAGGGGTGTGGGGTGGATTGTGAGATGAGTTGTAGGGTGGAGTAGGGATGGGTAGGGCCCAGGTGGGTTAAGTGCTTTATTGCGATGTTATCCTTTAAGGTCAGTAGACTTTCACCATCACCTGAGGGAAACATGAGAGAAAGTGTGACTAAAAGCTCCTAGAAGGAAAGAATAGAAAAGAGTAATGGATTCATAAAATGTTAGCAAAAGGAAAAGACCCAGAGACCATCTAGCCAACACTCTTATGTTACAGAGGACCCCTGAGGCCGCAGAGAGCAGTGTTCATGGAGGCACATGCCGAACAGAGGCAGAGCCGACAAGCCCCCTGACACCCTCCTCCATCTGGGGTTCCCTGAGGTGGCAGAGCACCCGGGAGGTCCCAGAACACCCCATAACATAGCCCTATGCTATATATCAAACATAGTACAGATCAAACAGCCAAATAGAGACCTGAGTCCAAATCACTGTCATCTTGCTGAAGACTTAAGCTACAAGATCAAAGGCAGAAGAAAATATTCTGGGTGAAACTTGATACCGGGAAAGCGAGATTCTAGCTTATTTTCCCCACATGCTGGGATAAACTGCCACTGCTTTTATTTGGAGAACGCGCTTGCACTGCTGGGGACTCGCAGCTTTACTGGGTTAACCCCGGGCCGCCCCCAGTCAGGGCGTCCTGCGCAGGTCAGGGGTGGGAAACAGATCGTGTTCTCACTGTGCACCACGGTAGAGTCCACCAAGGGGCCCACGTCCGGGATGGCGACAGTGACGCTGGTGCTCTCCGTGGGGGCCTTGTCCGTGTTGGCGGTGACACAGGAGAGGTCAGGCTCACTCTGGCTGATGACCCGGCCCATGTCCAGCTGTACATCTCCCAGCAGGGCTTGCTCGCTGCTGCCCTCCGGCTCTGGCTCTGGCAGGGCTGCCTCCTTCCCCACTTCCGGCTCCGGTTGGGGCAGGACTAGGGGTGTGTCGGCCTCATCAAGGGCTCCCGCCAGCCCAGAGCTTCTGGAAACCATAAGACTGTTGGTCCTGTGAAAAGAAGCAGCAGCTCGTGCTCAGATCGCCGCAAGCATCTGGCAAGAGGGGAAAAGGGAGCCTCAGGAGCTCTGCGGTCCCCTCTCTCCTAGCAGGCCAAGGAGCCACGCCCCAAGGGCAGTGTCCACTGCCTTATTCCCATCCGTCTGCCCATGGTCCACTCCCAACAGAAGACACCCTCCCAGCAGACCTTGGTTTTCAGAGGCCAATTCCCTTTCTTTACCTTATTCAGAGACTTGTCCATTTCACAAAAGGGGAAACTGAGGCTTGGAAAGTCATCTTTTCCAGACCCCTACCACTAGCAGTGCCAGATGCCTGCAGGGTGATTTACCTTCGTAAGTCTTGGCTTCTCTCTTCCTCCTGGATTGTAGGTTCCTTGCTCCCATGGCTGCCCCTGGATTCAAGATCTTTCTCGCCTTCCGTGGGCACGCCTTCGTCCAGACTCCGCTCTTGGCTGGCTGACCGGCTCCGGGAGGACGAGGAAGGCTCCTTGCCTTCCAGGCGGACACGCCGGTGCCGGCTGCGCCGCTGGCTTTGTCTGTGCCTGGCCCTGTCCTCGAAGGCCACCACAGTCTCCCCTCCACCAGCCTCCTGCTGGGCTGGGTCACAGTTCCCGTGACAGGGCCTGGCCAGCCACGGAGGCTCCCGTTTGCCCAGGGACAGGGGGCTTCGCTGGTTGTCCAGGGCACTTGACAGGTCCCCTCCGTCCCCTTTGAGGGACCCCCCACGGCTGATACGTTCCTCCTCACACTTCTCCAGGCCCAGGCCCAGAGTGAGGCCTTCAATGGGCCGGGGTCTCCGGTAAAGGCTGGGGTGGGCGTTGAGTGGATTGAGAGGGCTCAGTGGGTTCAGAGGGTTCAGGGGGTTCATGGGTGGGGCCTCCTCTTTGTTGAGGGCCTCCTGGCTGGACATCTGCATGTGCCTTCGCAGCTGGCTGGTACGTTGCTCCCACACGGACATGTGGTGTCGGCGCCGACGCTCCCTCCTGGCGAAGGGGACAGGGCTACAGTCAGAATGGGTGGCTGGAGGCCAGAGGGCCGCCACACGGGCGCGGGCAGCCCTCATGGCCATGGGCAAAGGGCAGGACGTGAAGGGGCGTGAACGGGTGAGCCCAGCCCCGGACCTGCATACAGGAAGCACAGAAGACGCAAGGGAGCGAGTGGGCGTGTGTGGAGGAGTGCTCAGACCAGGGCCCCCAGTCCGTGGGGTCGCTCATGCCCACCCCTGCCCTGCCGCAGCAGCAGAAGGCCGGGCTGGGGTGGGACCAGAGTGCAGAAGACCTGCCAGGTTGTCATCCCGGCTCCCTTTGCTCTGTCTCAACTCTCTGCCCCCACCAGTGGCCTGAATTCCCGGTCAGAGAACTTTCTCCCCTCACTCACTCTCTCCTTCCCCTTTCAGATGACAGCCTAGGACAACAAGGGCTGGGGAGGACAAAGGTTGGTTACTACCAAAGGGTGATGACGATGGAGAACCATGTTAGGAAAGGCTTGGCCTCACCCTCAAAATATGAGCTCTGGGCGTCTGCCACGACAGCTAATAATAACCACAGAGGATGGCGTGTGCAGAGCGCACCAGCAGCTCACGCTCGAAACTGTTCAGGGGGCCTGGCAGAGCCCGCACGTGGCAGCAGAACACACAAACGTGACACACACAAGCGCACACCCGGAGCAGACTCACACGCGAAGGGGAGTCACCTGCTCCTTCGCTCACAAGTGCCTGTGGGCGCACACCTGCAGCCGTTCGGGGGACACTCACGTGCCCACACACAACCTCGCAGGGGCCCACACACAGCTGCACGCCAGCCACTGCCTGCACAAAAGGCGCGCTGGCCAGCACAGGTCCCAGCGCAGACGCCCACGTGGCGAGGCCCACTCGCGGGCCACACAGCAGAGCGACGCACACGGGGTCACGGACCTGAGACACACACTGAGAGAAGCACGTGCCGAAAGGCGTGATGGGCATGTCCACAGACCAGGTGCACAGACGCACACACACACACGCACGCGCGCCGGGCCCGTGCACGCCGACAGCACGCCCGGCGCCACACCGTCCACGGCAAGGACAAAGACACCGAGTCCCCACACCCACACATGACCGCGCACACATACAGGTGGCTGCTGCGCGGCTCCCACATCGACATGTGGTGTCTTCTCCTTCTGTCTCTTCTGGGAAAGAAAAACGAACAGGTTCAGTGCATCCCGACCTTTCGGAACCACAAGCCCCACAGCCACCTGCAATCTGGGGAGAGGCACAGGGCCCCCCAAGGTGCCCGCGTGCCATCTGTTGACTCCTGACCTTCAATTCTCCAAAGGAGTGACTTTTGATTTTTTGCCTCGGGCAAACACAGGGGTCTAGTTTTTGAAGCCCCCAGGCAGAGGCTCAGAGGACAGAGGCCACCTCACGCAGTCACAAACTCAGCCGCTGCAAGGGCTCACACTTTCACCCGGAAACCCAGCAGACTCCTACATGGGAACCCTGTAGACGAAGAGCTGTAGTTCCCCAGCCATTTCTAGCATATTCACGGGGCTGTATTTCTCCGATCGGCAGGGAACACGTGATTGGCACACTCACCACCGAGGCCACAAGATAGTGTCAGGGCCAAACGCAGGGCCACCATGTTGTCTGGAAGGTGAATGGTGCCCTGTGCTTCCAGAGCACAGAGGCCCTGGCCAGAGGCCAAGCTGGTTGGTGGCTCTCAGCTGGGTAAAAATACAGTATTCACCTGCTTGGTCCTGCCAGGGAAAAAGCTCCTCTCTACACACACACATGCTGTGTCATTTCAAACAGAAAGCCAGAGGAAGGTTGGAGTGAGTGGCGGGGTGGGCGACCTTCACAAAGGTAGACGGGATGCTGGGAGTAATGAGGATGTGACCATAGGGTCAGCCCGCCCCAGTTCCCAGAGTAATGGACCTCAGCCCTCAGGCCTCACCTGGCCCCAGAAGGATGGCAGATGCTGTTTCCTCCCCTCATAAAACTGACACCCACCCACTGAGAGAGAGCACAGCAGCCAGACAGGCTCTGCTCTAGCGCCGCCTGGTCTTCTGTCCACAGAGAAGCCCAAGACAAGGGTGGAGCCAAGGGAGCAGAAAAGCTGGATGAGCCACGCTCAGGGTCTGGAAGAGGCGCTATATAACTGGTACCCACAACGGATGCAGATGCCATCGTGGGGTTATCTGTGAGCTCTCCAACTGAATGCACCCCTCAGCTTTGGCAGCTGCAATGCCAAGTGGCATGTGTGGGGTGGCAGTGCCATGAGGCAAGGGTAGCACATAGAAATAGAAGCACACATTCTGGACAGCGAGCACACCCACTAGAAAACACTTCTTACCATTTATTTGCAAATGCTCGAATATGCAAAAGCCCCCTGGAAGCACGTATGTAAGAGCCTAAAAGCATGGAAGAATGCTCAGTCTCTCTTTTTGTCACATTCACTCACTCACTCACTCTCACATCCAGCAAATGAGAGACCCAGGCTCTAATTCTCATGTACATCAAAAATGCACCTCAAACTTTTCTGTACCACACTCACAACTGCCAAGGTCCAAACTCAAGCCCCATCAGAATCACAAACCAGCCTTCATGCCCAAACCACAGAGAAACCGCCTCCCCTCACCAACTCAGGCACCTGCAACCTCACACAGCCACCATCACACCTTGCGAAGCAGGAAGGGCAGCTGGGATTCTCCCCGTTTCAGAGCTGGGGAACAGATTCCAGATCCTCTGTGGTTCCTCTGCTAAAGCCACAGAGCCAGAGACAGACTCCGATGTGCGTCAGGCTCTCTGTTGGGGACGAGGCTGTCTCCACGTTCTCCTGTGGACAGCTGCGCTCTCCCTTGGTTATACTGTAGTCCAGACATCACAGGTGAGGCCTGCAGCCCTGCGCCGCCTGTCCCGACACAGCTGCTGCCCACGGCACGAGCCTCTCAACCGCAGCCTCCCGCGGTGAGGACCTGCAGTCCAAGCCTGCCACCACCACTGATGCCATTCATCCTTTCACTCCACAAATAGCAAGCTCTACTCCGGGCAAGCATCGACCCGACTCTCAGCTCCAAGCCCACTGCTCCCCCAGGCTTCGTCTCAGTTACACAGCCACTTGCTCCCCGCGGCAGCCAGCCCACCCCGTTGGCACAATTGGATACCTGTGTGTATTTTTAACACAAACTTGTGAGTTTAGAGAGGTGGGATAGAAGCTACTTAAAGCCCAGAGAATATTTTAGAAGAGAGACAGCTGTTTTGCCTTTTTCCATCAATCTTTAAGGAATGGGATTTCCTCCCGCAAAGAGGAGGTTGTTTGGAGAGGCAACATCAAGATAAGGCTGTGCAGAGGAAGGACACTGGCATGTGACTCCAGGACACCCTGACAAGGTGAGGCAGATGGTATCTCACATACCCATATGGAAGCTCTGGTCAATGACAGGGTCTAGTGTCAGTTCACAGTTCCACCTCCCGGGGCCTGAGACCCTCCCCTCAGACACCCTCAGCCACTCACACAATTGGTTTTGCAGCCCAAAACCAGCAACAGGAATCTGGGGATGCTCCTTTATATCATGCAGAGGTGAACCCCACACGCCCTGGTTCTACCAGCAGCCCCAGACCTAGGCTGGATCCTGAAGATTCTGTACTCACCGCTCTCTTGGATGCTTCCATCCTCTCCCCAAATCACTCCAACTGGATGTTCTTCCCACCAGGCCAATGAAACCACTGAAGGTTACTTGAGCTTCCATTGTGCCAACACTGATGGTACATTTCTACCCTCATCTGATGTGATGCTTTGGCGTCTAATGTCACTGTCTGCACCCTGCACCCTGGAGGGTCTTCCCCACTAGGTCTCCAGATGACACACTACCTGACTCTTCCTCTCAGCTCCTGCCTGCTACCTGTCAGGTCAGCCACACCATAAGCCCTGCTTTTCTCCCCAGACCCACCCTGGGTCAGCTCATATATCTCCCTTATGCAAATGATCCCTCCCCCAATCTTTATTTCTAATCCCAGCTTTTCCTCTATGTTCCAGACACATGTAACCAATGGATGTGTTGTAAGTACCAAGATTTAACGTGACCAAAACAAACCCTGGGTTTCCACCATCCTCTGTTTCAGTATACCAGCACCATCTGCCAGTTGTTTAATCCTCAAACCTTAAAACCTGGGAGAAGAGCCCTCCCTGGTGGTGCAACAGGTTAGGGTGCAGCACTGCAAGCTGGCCCCAGTCGCTTCAGTGCTAGTTTGATCCCCGGCCCTGGAGGTGACTCACAGGGCCCAGCAGACCTGTCCTGACCTACCCACTGCTCCCCTCAGCAGTGTACTTTGTCAATCTGCCTGTTCTGCTCCCCCCTCTGTCTCTGGTGAAGCTCTTACCACTCCTGCACCTCTGGCTTATACCCTAGTTCTGTATGAATAAATAAATATTTTTTAAAAAAACCTGTTTTTCTTCTCTTTTTCATCCCCACCCCATTACAGTTAACCCAGAAGCTCATCCCATTCATTGGTCCTCCAGCCAAAACAAATGGAGAGGGATAACTCTCTTCCTCTGTAGCCACCACCCTTGTCTAAACCAGACTCAACTCTCACATACCCAACATGAAAAGTCAACTCATTCTCTCTGCCTCTACGCTTAGCCCCTGTAATCCATTCTCCAGAAAGCAGAGAAACCTTTGAGAAAGTAAAGTATGTCATATCAATCCTTCTACATTAACACCTCCCATGAGTGCAATCAGAATCAAAGCTAAGCAGGCCTTCATGACACCCCAGGGCCAGTTCCCAGCCACAGTGGGCTTTGTCCAGTCAGGAGGTCCTTCCTTCTTAATGCCAACGACCACCTCGACCTCTTACACATTTACATCTGTTTAAATATCCCTTTTCCAGAGACTGTCCTTGATTGCCCTATGGCACTTCACCACACTCTTCCTGCCCCCACCTTACTATCATGGTTTATTTATTTTGCAACAGTTGTCACTATCATAAAAGTATGTTCTCCTTGAGAACAAAGAAGGCACTGCTCGCCCCTATAGGTGCATGGGTCAACAGTCATCCTCTGATGATACAGTTTTGGTTGGTGACATGGCTGTTAACACAGGAGTGCAGGGGGCAGTGAAGGGGAAGCAGCCAACTCACTCGAAAGAAGGCATGTTGGGTGCAGACATCGGGCTGACCTCCTTGGCCTTCTGAAGTGCGTGCTTCTGGTTGAAGGCTTCCTCTTCTTCCTGCTCATCCTAGACACAAAGCAGAGATGGTTTTGCCTGTGTTCCATACAAAGGGGAGAAGTGTCCCTTAGCTCTCCCCCAAGGAGCTCTGAGGGCCAGCTGCAGTGAGGGAAAGAGGGAAGAAGTCCAAAAGGTAATGTGAGGTAAGGTTGGTTCAGAGACTTCAGACAATCAGGGAGGCTTCCTGGAAGAGAGGGTAGACTCCCACTCTACCCTTCAGTCCAGCACAGCTGGTGTTGGCTATGGAAGTCAGTAGTAGCAACTAACTTCTCACAGAATCTGCTGTTTCTGGAAGTGGGGGACAGGGTCCTTCTGGGCAGAGTTCCCTGGAGTATGGTGCACAACTAAGTGCCCCCACTAGGCTGCTCAGGTGGGAATCTCTACACCATCACCCAATATCTGCTTTTGAGTAGCTCCACTATGTGCAGACACCCAGTTCAGGTAAAGGGACCAGCGTTACTAAGAATACACAAATACACAATTTCCTTGGCAAGCTCTAACTCTCATAAGTTGTATTGGACTTGAGCTGCCAGTGATCCTAGGAAATACACAAGGCGGCTACATCATTCCCATTTTACTGATGAAGAAACTGATGCTAAGGAGATCAGAGACATTGGTCATGCTAGGGAACTGAGGCATGGCAGATGTGGGACTTGTGTCCAGATTTTCAGACACTAACGCCAATGTTTTCCCTCCTGTGCCTTGCAGATAAGAGCTCAGGGGTCTAGGAAAGAGCAGGAAACACAGAACACGTGGAAGAAGGTCAACAACCTCACGGGGCCATATACCTCTCCCAACCAAGTTTGCATTGTGTTGGGGGATGTTTCTACATGGTTCCCTATACCATCTCACTGCAATGAGTATTGTCTCTGCTCCTAGGAAAAGAAATCAACCAGAGAAAAGAAATAGCTCTTTGAGAAATACAGTCTCTGCTTTACTGGAACTTCTCCAAGTTGACCATGGGCACTGGAAGCCCCAGATTGACCCCTTTCATACCCAGACTCAGGGGGTAAAGCCAAAGGTCAAGTTCACACAGGCATCGTGCATAGGAATACTTTAACCCAGGGTTTTAGTGTTTTCTTCATCCTCCATGTTGTAAATCCACAAAGTGCACCTCCGAGGGTTTGTGGTGATAGAGCTGTGATTTCTAAATCACATGAGAGACCCAGGCTGGTCAAAAGCTCACCACTCAATAAAACAAACTGGGCTTCCTTCATGGATATGTGGTTCTCCAATTGCTCAGAAGCTCCCACAAGGGGCCTTCCTGGAAGACGTGAGCTACATAATGCAGAATTCTGAAGTAAGTCCCAAAGGCACAGAGAACCATCAGGTCCTCAGAGAACAAGGCTTACCTTGGTCAGTTCCTGGGCATTGGCCAGATTGTCCACAGCGATAGCCAAGAATACATTCAGCAGTGTGTCTGGAGTGAGGAGTTAAGGACAGACAAATAAGAAAAGTAAAAGCCTTCAGCAAGACTGAGAGGGCATCTCCATGTCTTTCCTGCTTCCTGTGGACCACCAGTGTGAAGAAAAGCTGCTCTAAAGAGCAGGGGCCAAGGGAGGAGGGCAAAGATGATATGGGAGTCTGAGAAAGAGTATGTTTTCTCTCCTTTCAAATACCATCTCCGCATAGAACAGATAAACACACAAATCAAACCACCCAGCAGGTCCAGATTGTATGAGGAGGGCTTTACACAGCTACAGCCTCTCTCAAAGCAATAGTGAACAGGGCAATTACTGAACAAAATGTTTGGAGGCTCAAGGTAGGAGCCCATTGCTCCTTCTGGGGAGCCTGATGTGAGGGCCACCTAGACACACCATGTTATTTTGTCCTTGTAGATAAAAAAGAACTGAGATTCCACAGCCCCATTGCCAGTCATCTCAAAAATGTTCACTGGCCTCTCACATTCTCCTTGTCCTGGAAGACCCCCATGTGTCACTGAACAAAATGACACAGAGAACACACCACTCTTATGGAGATCAGGTCCATTCCATACTCTCACCTCTACAGTCCCAATTTTCCAACTGTCTTTGAGACTCCTGTGTGGAACAGAGAACTGGTTTGAGCACAAAAGCCCAGCTCCGAGGTCCTCTGCTCAGGGCAGGGGGGCCAAGCTGGCGGTCCCCTCTGTGACTCACCATACCGCTTTGGTCTTCTCTTGCTTATAGTTTTGCCTGGGGCCCCTGGAAGACTCCAGGAAAGGAGCTTTCAGAGCCTTGCTTCTCTGTCAGATGGTGAAAACTACCAAACTATAACTACCTCAGGTGGCTGTTCGTTCTCACTCTACCAGCCCCAATCCCAATAACTCCTCGTCCACATTTGCAAGCTCATAAGGGGCATTCAAACAAATCACCTCATTTACTGTTGACAATAACAAAAGGAGATAGGTGATCATTGTCCGCCTTTACAGAAACGAGAATTTAAAGCTCAGAGAGATGAAGTGACTTTTCCAAGGCCACAAAGCTAGTAGGCAGAGCTGCTGGGGTAAAATCCTAAAGCTTCTTGTGCCAGGTCCTGTGAGAAGGCATTAGGTACTTGTTAAACAGCCGTGGGTGTCAAGTCTTCCCTTCCGATGTAGTGTCTTATCAAGTAAGGACCAAATGAAACAGTCTATAAACCACAGATACAGCACATTGCAGCCAATGTTAGCTATGCTGTAGTATTAGCAATAGTCATAATAGTCTGTTCTGTACTGAAATGTAGTTAATTTACTAGTATTAAAATCTGATTTCAGTCTACAACAATCTCTGGCCTCTCTTATTATCCCGTAATAGTACCTCCAACCCTTCAATCTGACAGCTTTGTAGGACATTGTTTGTGTATACTATAGACTTAGATAATACTCAGTTCTGTTGTTTACTTATCTTCTTTACTCAATAGTGTACCAATTCCTTAAAGTCAGGATCCTGATTTCCCTTAGTCCACCGAGCAGTGTCCATCCTCCTCCCCGGTCCCTCCATGCCCCATCCCATCACTACCAATACCACCCCCTCATGTGTCCATCCAGGCAGGCAGTCAACACAAGCAGGAACAATACAGAAGGATACAGTTGCCGAACAAGGTGAGCACAATGAAGTAGATGGCTGACCACATGCCCGAGCTGACCCCGCCCTGGGAGCGAATCCCATTGTACATCACCTCGTTCCAGTCCTCACCTGTCAGGATCTAAACAAAGCACACAGCAGCCAAGTGAGAGGCCAGGGCTGGTTGAGAAGACAGGGCCCGTCTAAAAGGGTCTGGTCTTTTCCATTTACCCCCTTCCTTGGCCAGTGAGAGGGAAAAATGTCACTCCATGAATAATCCTAACCTTTCTTCTAATATGGAAAAGGCACTGAAAATGTGGGAAATTATCAAAAGGAAAGATCCCATTCCCCAAACTACCCCTCTCTACCATTGGCATTGCCAGGCCTGTGGGAGTCACACAGATCAGGCGGTCTGATCATCATCGCCTTTCCCTGGAGATGCTAAGATACAGTTTCTGAGACAGCAGTGTTATAAGTAAGAACTTTGGGGCATCAGTGCAGAAAACCAGAGGTCTGGTTCAGCCTCAGGTTCTAGTTAAATGGTACTTTTGTTTAGCTCCAAGACATTGAGCTAAAAATTATCAATTTTTAATTTCCCCCATGATTTAGAAAGGTATTTTTTTTGGGGGGTAAAGAATGGAAAAGGTACTTTATTAAGTAGGAATGGGTTAGAAGACCTTTCTAATTTCAGAAAACCAGGAAGGCAATTTGTTGCTAAATGTTTTAGTCTTCCAACTTTTACAAAAACACAAGTGCAGAGAAAGCCAGTGAGGTCATCACAAGGAGAGGCATTATTTTGCAGTATGTGGCTCAAGGGCTCCATTTTTTTTTTTTTTTTGTTATTCTTCTTTTTTTTTTAATTAATAGTTAATTTTTACATCATTTTGTGCCTTTTCGCATCTCAGTTGTAATCCCTGTGGGCTTCTCATCACCAAATCACCTGTGTGCCATCACCATAGTCCAGGGTACTTCCCTCCCCCCAGCAACATTTTTGATGCCGTTCCACACTCCACCCCCACAAAATGTCTCTGGTATACAGTTTTGGATCATTATTATTATCCCCACCCCACCCCGGTCCTTTATGCTCCTGCTGTGAGTGAAACCATCGGTATTTTTCTTTTTCTTTCTGACTTATTTCACTAAATATGATCCCTTTCAGCTCCATCCATCCAACATGGTGTTTTTTAATTTTTAATTTTATAATAGATTATTTTTAAATATTTTTGTGCATTTTTCCATCTCAGTTGCAATCCCCTTGGGTTTCCCATCACCAAATCACCCATATGCCATCACCCAACATGGTGTTCTTTAACTGCCAGTTGGCCTCATACCTGGAATACAGTCATGATGGCTGCAGGGAAAGTGTCAAAGTTTGCCGAAGGAGTGCCATCATTAAAGTTAAACCTGAAAGGGGAATTCAGAGAGAAGACTGGAATGGAAGCCTCATACACCAAGTTTCCTTTCCCTAAAAGTACATGTTTTCATCACTTCCCTTTTCTACATCCTCCTCTTCCTAATTTTCCCATTTCATGAAATTTTCAAAGATGACATTAGTGACTGCTATTGATTTTGAATGCTATGGGGAAGGAAATGGGGTTTTGACTAATCCTGAGCTATAAGGTCCCATGCTATAAATTTCAAGTGTTGCTCCAGAGGGGATAGTCCCTGGAACAAAAATCCTACACATTGTCAAAATATTTAAAGCAAAGGAATTCCTTCCATCTACACACTTAGCTTCCGATTTAGGCCATGGAAAGAATAAGATGGTAACACGGTGACCAAATGAATGACCCTTGTGCTCACAGGCTAAGGCTGGGCTTTAAGTCCCCTTGGGCTGTAAGCCTGCTGGTGCTTACCTGCCTCCAAACAGCTGCATGCCTAGGAGAGCAAAGACAACGATGAAGAGGAAGAGGAGGAAGAGTAAACTGATGATAGACTTCATGGAACTCATCAAGGAGACCACCAAATTCCGTAGGGATGCCCAATACCTACAAAACCCAGATGGTAGTGAACACTGAATCTCATGTTAGCCCCAATTCCAGCCAGATAGTGATGTGGTGGCCTGTGAACCGAGGTGCATTTGTATACTTGTGAGGGGGTGTGATGGCTGTAATCTGTGGCTTAAGATCTGGAGTCACAGAAATTCTTTGGAGGAAGAGGAGAAGAAACCGAAGGATGGGTTGGAGCTGGGGTAGAGAAGTGCGAATGTGGAAAGGGGGAATAGCAATGCAAGGAAATATAAAGCAGAACGTTTTCATTCTCAAGCATGCTTGGAAAGAGTCCCGATTCTGACCACTTACTTGGTTATCTTAAATATCCTTAGAAGCCGGAGAGCTCTCAAGACACTGATTCCAAAGGATGTCCCTGGTCTGAAGATTGCCCAGACCACTTCAAAGATACTGCCCACTGTGACCTAAGGAGTCAAATCCAGCCATGGTGAGAAGAGGAAAAGCAGGAGTGTTCTGGTGTCCGGTGACCCACAGCTGTCATCAGCCAATTTCAGGGCTGCCTATTTGTGAAGGCTACTGAAGGAAAGGGGGGCCTGTGCCATCTCTCTCCCAATCTTCTTCACTAACTTTATATACTGCTTGCTCTTGTGCTGGTGAAGACTTTGAGAACCAGACACTACTTTTGCACAGATTTCACATCCATGGCACATCTTAACATTCTAGCAAACAGACAAAGGAGTGAGACTCAGAGCCAGAGAAGTAACTGGAACAAATACAGGTTGCATTCCAACACAATCTCTGAGGGCATCTGCATTCTCTCATCATCCTAGAATCGAGGGCTAACAAGGATGCTGTAGTCACCTGCACACTAAATATCTTTCAGTCACATGGGCCCCAAAGCCCTCAGGGTGATGATCCAGCCTGGTGGCGTGGAATCTGACTGCTATGGGAAATAGCAATTTCAGATTAACAATTCATTTTTTGTTTCAAGGATGTATTTATTGAATGCCGGCCGTGTGCTACAAAAACAACAGATAACAAAAAATAATCCTCCCATCAATAACGAAAAATATGTACATGAGGAAACCAAGGTTAGAATGGTTCACTAGCTGTTATGCCTGAAATTTGCCTGTACCCAGAACCATATGTTCTGAGTTAAAATGGAGATTGGAGAGAACTCAAAACCGTTAGCACCTAACTGAAGATTTGGCAGAAAAAGAGGTGGGTTTGGCACAAAAAAAAGTGGTTCAGGAATCCAAAGTTTTGCAATCTAGTTTTGTTGCTGGTAGACTGTAAGACCTTGCACACAGCATGCTATTTACTCCTGCATAAATGGGAGGTTAACTCCTGGTATGTGATAAAGTGGACAGGACTCCAGAAAACAGCAGAGGTCAGAAACAGATGTGACAGCACCTGAAAACTCAGCAATGTACATATTTACACATTGGTATCGTGTAGAAGAGTGTGGACGCTGAAGGGGAAGTTCTAGTCCAGAACTTGTTCATATAAGAGCATTAGTGTCTGTATGTGTCCACATGTGTATGGCTGAGGATGTAGCTAGGCAATTTTAACCAATTTTCCACTGAAGTAAAAAGATACAGCAGCTTCTCTTTCTATTGAACAACTCTCTGGAATGAGTCCTTTGCCCTCCTCTCCCAGGCTTAGCTCTGACATTTTGTGAAATTCATTGAGTTACACACTTAAGTATGCACTCTATGGTATATGTGTCATACTTCAATGAAAACGTTAAAAAGAAAGAAGCTTAAAAAAAAAAAAAAAAAACCTGAACAAACTCTTGCATGGATTCATTCATCCTGACCTCCCTTTAGCAACCTTATCTATCCCCCTTTAATACCTTTAATAAATTCTGGTTTCAGAGCTGCATGCTCAGCAATGGAGCAAGCTGCTTATCTCAAACTGTGGCATATCAACATGAAGCAGAAAGACAGGAGGCTCTAAGCACTTACCCCAAAATCAAAGCAGTTGAATGAAGAGTGAAAATAGAGGCGAGGCCCCATGCCATACATCTTCAGGGACATCTCCAAGAGGAAGAGTCCCAGAAACAAAAACTCTGCATAGTCTGAAAGCAGTGAAAACAAAAGCAGCAGTTACACAGGCAGCAGGAACTCTGCACCCCTCAACCCAACACATCATCTACAGAGGAGCCCTCACACCGGACCAAGACGCCCACACATAGGCACTTTCAATCACCATCAGGCCAATGCCAGGCAAAATTAATGTGTTGTTTGACCTGCTTCCCCCCAGAGGAGTCCCAGACACAAGTCTCTTTTCACAAGTGACGAGTCATGGACACTGAAATAGGTGACAGCTCTCAGGAGAGGAAGAAAGGCTTTCCCGTGGCTGGCTGACAGCTTGGAATTCCCCTACACCTAGCAACCACAGTGCCGAGGCTCACTCACACCCAGTGGCAACCTCACCCAGAGCTGGCCTCTAAGCTCATCACCTTGAGAACTTTCTCCAGGACTCTGGCGATCCAAAACCCTCCAACCCCTGAATTTCCATAAGACACAGAGTTTAGCAACTTCTTGACTCATCAGCAGAGATTTGTACATCTGAGTTAATAATGAAAAGTTGGAAATGCCATGTGATCATCAAGCACGCTGCGGACAGGCTTGGCTTCCCTCCCAAGGGGCAGAGATGGGGTGCTCTGGGCTGGCCCAACCATGGCCAACATCAGGTCTTGCTCTCTACACTGTATCCCCATCAAGCTGCCACCATGAGGTCCGCAGTCACCGCTCACTTACAGAGGAGGTGGGTGAGCCACTGGGGCTGGTTGTGGTGGACGATGGCAACACAGGCGGTGTTGAGAGCCACAAGGCTCAGCACGATCCAGTAAAACACCTGGGATTTAACCATGTGGCGGATGGAGATGCGCAGAAGCCTTTCCTTGTGCCGGAAATATGAGGCCCCGTCCACCTTTGCACTTTTGATGCTGGCCCGGGCCAGAGGAGTGCCTATGGGGGTGAAGAGGAAGGAAGAATGAGGTGGTAGAACAGACACCCCTTCATGGCCAGGGGCGCATTCAAAAGACCAGGTGGGTAGTCTCGGTGCTAGAGCTGGGTGACTGTCATCACGCAGTCAGGGATCCCCATGTTCTGGGCTAAGTAGTCCCCACAGCACAGACCCCTGCTTTTCATGGTGAGCACTCTCAGTCCCAGGAAATGGAAACATTCCCCAGGTGGAAACACAGTGCAGAGAAGCCTAATAAGATCATGTTTATGTTTGTAACAGATTGGGCTTCCCTCTGGCCTTTCCTATTAAATGTGCTTTAGGCACCAGAATCATGTGCCACATTTCTGATTCATTCTGCCATGGGCAGCCTAAACGGGCTCTGTCATTGCTTTCTGGGATGATGACCAACTTCCCTCTTTCTGGAGAGGGAAAACCTGCCATCAGTCAGGATCTCCAAGAGGGTCTGGGACAAACGGATTCAGCAGGAACTTCAATGTCAGACACTAGAAGTGGGTGGGCGCCACTATGGTCAAGCCGATGACTTGAGGGTCTTGCATGGAGGTCCCCGCAGGCAATAAGTTCTCAGGACCTTTGAACAATGTCTCATTATTTGATCCAGGACAGATAGGAGCATACACAAATGGGTATATTTGCCAGGCCTGAAGACACTGGGATGGACTTTGGCCATAAACCCCATCTTTCCTCTAGATAGCTTCCCCTGACCAAGTTTTTAGGTCACATGATTAGATCAGTGCACTTTTCCCTAATTACATCCCCAACTTCTGGATTCTTCAGAATCATCTTCTTATGGCACTGTTAAAAAGCCTTTTTTTCCGCGTGATTCAGAGAAGAGCTTGGCCCCACTCACCCACAGAGGAGATATCGACGCAGTGTTCATCGCTGGAGTCACGTGTCATGGCCTCTGTCCGGCTCCTTTTGATGGTGGCCCGGCGAAGCACTACACAGAGGCAGGAGGAAAGCAGTGAGAGAAGAGGAGACAACTCAGCCTGGTCGCTTGGGTCAAAACTGACGACCATGGGGAAGAATTCCCTGGTACACTGGTGCCCGCCTTTTCATAAGTGCCTGCACCAGGGTTCTAGAAATTGCCACTGTCTACGGAACATGACTGTGTTTAGTAGCACTTGCTGAAACGCAAGGGCTCCTGACGCCTAGCACTTCTCTAAATGCAGTAGGTAAACAGGCACCCTGCATGCAGTTGTCCTGGCTCTTCGTAAACAATACCACTTCCTGGTAGAGAAAGTAGTCCCCAGATGATCCTCAGGAACCTTCAAGGAAGATCCCTTAGTATGCCCTTGGCAGTATCACAGTCAATGCACAGTACCAATCACCCAGCCCGGAACAAAGCAGCCCCAGGATTTCATTTTCATCACTTTAAAAGCATTTAAATCTGTGACTCCATTCCCTTCATTTTAAAGCATGAGGGATTTTATGACAGAGACACTTGAGTTTCAAATCCCAAGGCGCCCTTCTTTCTTTCTTTCGCCTCTCAATCCAGAGAGGTTGCCACCACCGCCTACGTGGGGGAGGGAGGGAGGGATGGGGAGCAGCTTACCTTCTAAGGCTGATGTTCCTGCATTTTTATTTTCCTCAGCAAGCATGACTTCCTCTAGATGGAAACAAATGGTTTAGTAAACTATCTGTAATGGCAAATCATTCTGCAAAATGAAACCCTCCCAGGGACAGTTCTGGCTCCAGGGCAACAGAGAGAGGAAGGAGTTCCAACCGCAGAAAGCAGCCAGGGGTCAGGGTGGACACTCCAGAGCTCCGCAGAACAGGAAGGAAGAAGTTCTTTATTGAGGGGACTGAGAGGGTGGTTCACATAATTCAGCTTTGTGTCTGAATTCACCCCATTCTGCAGTAGGATACCTAGGAGAGGAAGAGTTGATTTTTTTTTTAACTACAATCATCTAAATGGAGAAGAATTTCCATTTCTGTATTTCCTTCTACCTCCTCTAGCCATGGGGTTTCTCTGGGCTATTGCTCCCAGCTCAAAACACTTGACCTCCCTCTCAGGCAAGACATTTGGGGGGACTCTGCAGGGCTCAGTGAAAGAAATGCTAGCTGCCCTCAGGTAGCTTCAGGGCTGGCGGGCTTGCCTCCTCCAGCCCATCAATCTGCCCTCCTGACTTGAGCAGATTTTCAGCTGAAGAGGACTGGGACATGGTGAATTTATCCACATGATATAATAAAAAGCAAAGATGTGGCTTTTGTGTGCCTTCCTGGCACAAAGCTCCCAAAACTCTTGGAATTTTATATGCCAGTGGGATGACTCATGGCGGGGAGGGCTAAATGCCTTAAGGAGGGAGGTTCACAAGATTCCAACTTCCAGCCTCACCCTGCTCCCACCTTCTAGGAGGAAAGAGCAACTGCTCAATCACTCTGCCAATAATTTAATCAATCGTGTCTTCTGACAGCTCTATTAAAAAAACCCTAAACTTGCGGGCTCATGTAACTCCTTAGTTGGTAACTGCGACCAAGTTGAGTGTTGGGTTGTGGCATGCCTAGCGCAGGCATGGAAGCTCTGTGCCTGCGGCCCCTCTCCTCCACATCCACATCTTGCTTACGTTTCCCATCTATTGGGCTGTTCCCAAGCTGTAGCTTCATAGTATATTGGCAATAGTAAGTTAAGATTTCTCTCATGTTCCAAAAGTCGTTCCAGCCACGTATCAAATCTGGAGCCCAGCTCTCACCCCTCCCATCCCCAATTTGTAGTTAGCCAGCAAAAGTGCAGCTCACCTGGGTGCCCATTTGCAGCTGGCATCTGAAGTGAGGACAGGCTGGTAGGCTTGAGCTTTCCACCTCTTGGGTCTGTGCTAACTAATTCTGACACTAAATACCACCGGAATTGAAGTGACTGGACACCTAACTGGCGCTGGAGTGACATATTTGGTTGTCAATATTTGGAAAAGAATCTCCTATTCCCTCCCAATCCCCTTTTCTTCTTCTCGGGAGTACCCCTTAGCTCCAGAGGTGTCGCCATTTCTATTAACACCATTTTCTAGGGCTTATTAGAATGAGCCTCATTAGCACTCTCCATGTGGATTCTGAGCTCCCTGTTGGGAGTGATGTGGATTAAAGTCTCACCCTGTCACCTCCGCCATAGGCCAGAGAGCCTATGCATCCCCCACAATCCCAGCTGCCGGGAAAAGCTGGCAGCAGACCAAATAAGACAGTGGTTTCTTTTAAGTCCTTGCAACAAGTAAAAGGACAGTTTGAAGAGAGGTAACAGATAATGTTGTTACCATAACTCCACCTCCACAGAAAACAGAGTAGATAATGTATTCGCTGGGAGGGGAGCATTTTGAGGTTCAGTGAATACCACACAGGATGGCCTTTATCCCAAATCATAACTGTGTAGCTTTCCTTTTTAAGTGTAGCCTCTGGCAAAACTCAAAGTGACTAGGTTGTGTTATTTGTAGGTAGAATGTCCCTAGATGCAGACGTAAAGGGTTTCAAAGTTATTGGACAGCCCAGGTTTTTGAAGGCCATCTCTTAGGTATTTGCAGCACTACCTCCTAGCAACATTAACTACTTCAGCCAGAGACTTGTTTTTGAGATCTGCCATGTCTGGGCTCTGGAGCTGGCAGATCTGAGGACCCCTAAGGCAGATGGAGAGGGTGTGGTCCTCATGAGTCTCTCTGGGAAACTCTCATGGGCACCGGAGGCACAGAAAGCACTCCCCCTCCCCCAAAGCCTTGCGCCAAATTTGCTTTCAAATTTGAGTGTGTCTTTCCAGGGAAATGTAACCCATATGTTTCTGATTCACTCACGCTCTATTTGTAAAGGGAAGGGCCAGGAAGCACAATTTGACATCGCAGTGCGTCTTTTTTCTTAGAAGGATTGCAGAGCGCTGGCTTTGCCAACTGGAAGAAGTGGTGCCTGGGAATTCTGCTTGTGTTTGGAAAGCAGAGCCAGGAGAGCCGCATCCTGAGACACATGACCTTGGGAAGCAGCGTGTTGAGGGCAGGGTCATCTTTTCAGGTTCTGTTGCTAGTAGGCACACTCAGGGGTCTGTCAGACGGCACCCCACCCCCCACCCCAGCAAGCCTAGGACAGTTGGGAACGTCAAGCTCTCTGCCTGGCCTGCAGGCAAATCTGCTGAGAAGGCTGGGTTAGCAATCTAGGAAGAGGAAGTGGGGGATGCACGTTATTCCCACAGGAGAGCCTGGGAGGAGAAAGGGTAAAACAGTGTGGCTAACAAGTGTTTCCAAGAGTGGCAAAGGATGCAGAGAGTCACAGACAGGAGTGTTTTTCATCTGACTTTGAATGGCAGACATAGGCTCTCCTACCCTCCATAGATAGTCAAAAGTTTACTCCAGAGCCAAGAAAGAGTTTTTGTGTGTCCGTGGTACAAACAGAAGGGTCACAATCTCATTGCAGAGCTCCTACATAAGGGTAAGGTCCAGGCAGCTAAGATTTAGTTGCTTTCCAGATTTTTCTGGAGAGACTTCACAGCCATGCTACTGGGAATAAAGAAAAGATGCTGACTGTCTTGTCTATTTTTTATTATTATTAAAAAATACAACTCTCTTCAGGAAGAAAATAAAGATCTATAACACTCCCACTTCCAAATAATAAGGAAAGCAAATGCATCCTTTTTACTGACAGATATGAGGTGATCGATGCGGCCCATGAGCAGCTGAGCCACAGGCAAACTTGAATCCGGTGGCTCTGGGTCAATGAAATTGTGCCAGTCCGGCCTTCTCCCCAGGGAGGGGTAAGAATGATCCCAGAAGCTGAGCCACAGCAGGGGCATGAGGGCAGCTCAGAAGCAGGGAAGCCAGTTATCCACTCTCTACTACCTGCCTGAGGCACAGCCTCACAACTGGCCCTCCTGATACTGGCCTGGTCTTCCTGCTGCTGCTTCTCAGTGTAGCAACCAAAAGCACCTTCAACATCCTAAATCAGAGCATGTCACTCCTCTGCTCAAAACTCTCCTCTGGTTCTGGCCTTGCTCACAGTAAAGTCCCAGCCCCCATAATAGCCAGGAGCGTTATGAAGGATCTGCCACCTGTTACCTCCATACATGGTCCCCACCCCATCTACTGCCCTACTCTCACACTAGAATATTCTTGAGATATTCTAAGCCTTGGAATATTATTCCCACAGATACTTCTATGCTGACTCTTTGATGCAAGAGTACCCCCTCAAATGGGTGCATCCTGACCTCCCCATTAAAAGTACCACTTACCCCATACTTAATAATCTTATCTTGCTGTTTTCTATTATACTAACAATGTTCTTGTACTGTTTGACTTATTATAACAAGAAGCTCTTAAGAGTTTTGGTGACTTCCTGATCTGTTTGGCTTACTGTAGTACACCTGTGTCTCTAACACAGGCCTTGATGCAAATTAAGCCCACTTAATAAATATTTGTGCACTGATTGTAACAGGTTGATCCCAAGGAGAAGGGGAGGTGCCAGGTTCCTTGCCACACACAACATCCACACATTTGACCTTCATCATCACAGATAAGGTGACAAACAGCAAAAGTGGGGAATGGTTGAGGGGAAAGGACATCCTGAAAAAATGCCACAGTCGGGTTTTAGGACCCCACCCCCATCCCAGATCGAAGAAATCCAAGACACCAAAGACTACAAATCTTGTAATGTTATCACCATTGAAAGGACGGTTTCTGGGAACTGAGGGCAGAATTAAGCAGCCAGACTTGGTATATAAGCAGACAGGTGGGCCTTGGGGGTCTTTCGTTTTTCATTGGCTTTCAGTGTGCTTTGAGCAGAACTGATTGGACACATTCACCAATTTATCTCTTTCTTTCTCCCTAAATTAGTCATCTCTTCATTTCCCCTTTTTTGGGCAATAAACCCTTTAGCAACCTTGTATGTGTGTGCCTGCAGTTGAGTCTCTCCCTTTAACACACCCGCAGTCAGGCCAACCTATTTCACACCGGGAAAGCCCTGTAACATGAGTAGGCTGTTATATAGCCATGGACAGTAGCAGTGTCGTGGTCTCTCATGTCACAGGCCAAACCCAGCTCTCACGTTGGCTAACTGACATCTTACATAGCCCACCTTGCTAAAAATGCCTGCCCCATGAAAGATGTTTGGTACAAGGGCAGGTTCAGTGAAATCCTAGAGGAAGAAAAGTGGAACCCACAAGAACCCCCAAAGCTACCAAGGTATCCAGAGCTTCTCCTGAGCTGGTTTGGGCTGCCCCTTTGAATAGAATTACTGGGAATGAGAAGACTGTGCACTCTCCTGGCCCTGCCCCCGCCCCGCCAGCTCACCTGCTTTGTCTATCCAGGCGCGGTAACCATTCAGCTCACGTTCGATCTGCTGCTGGCGCCGAAGTTTCATGAAAGCTCTTCGGTTCTCCACTCTCTCTCTCTCTTTGGCAAATTCCCTGTGGACAAGATGGATCAGATTCATTTAAGTTCAGATGGATATGATAGATAAATTTAGTAGTGCCAGAAGTGAGAAAGAAGGAGACACAAGTGAAAGAGAAAGAGGAGGCCTGCACAGGCATTTTTGGGTGCTCTGTGTCCCTGTTCCCTCATCCCAAGCTGTAACTGATCTTTTTTTTTACTTTTCTAAAAATACATTATATCATTCTTAATTTTTGTACAATGTATGATTTCCCCCTGAAATTCCCACCACCCATTTACCTGTGCACCATCACCATGGTCCCTTGTGCTCTTCCCACCCCTGCTCTGGTTCTTCTCCCTCCTCCTCCCATACTGAATGGCCTAAAGTTGCCTGATGATTTTGATTTTCTTATAAATACTTTTTTAAGAATTCCTTTTTTTGTTTTCTCTACATTCCTCCTATAAATGAGACCATTCAACATTTTTCTACTTTCTGGCTTATTTTGCTGAGCATAATCCCTTCCAGCTCCATCCATGTTGCTGCAAAGGGGATGAGTTTGTCCTTTTTCATTGCTGAGCAATATTCCAACCTACCTCTTTAAATAGCTACACAGAAGTGAGCTTCATGTAGCCCCAGGCAGGAAACCCTCCTGGAGCAGTTTTATTCCAATCAGTATGAACACCCTCTGCCTGCTCAATTTTGAAAGAAATTTCTTAATCAGGTGACAAAGAAGATGTCAAAATGTTATGTTCCATTTCCCAGCCACAGTGGATGCCCTTACCCTTTCCACAGGCACAGTCGCCTCTCTGCCTTTTAATTTTCACAGCCACCCTATGAAATATATTCTACTAGAAATCCTATTTAACAATGGGGAAACCAAGGCTTCCCTTGGGAACTAGCTTGCTGAACTCTCAACACAATGTTGGCTTCTCCTGTGTCCCGCATCCTGTGTTATAACAAGTGATGCTGACATCTTGAAGGGCTACTTGAAGGGCAGGTAGAGGCCATGAGTAAAGGGGCATGTAAGAGGCATGTGACTTTTATAGAAACATAGTGGGAAGGTTGGGTGAGAGAGAGAAAATGGAAGGAAAGTCAAGAAAGATGGGGTTCAAAAAGAGGCTACTGACAGACGCCCCAGAGGCACAAGATAATAAAAAGACTAAAGCGCTCTCAAAGAAAAAGGAGAGAAGAGGAACAAAGAATAGAGAGAGAGGAACATGATCAAGTTCCCTGGAGAAGCAAAAAAAAAAAAAAAAGACTGCAACAGCGACGAACATAGTCTAGTCATTTTGGTGTATATACATGATGGGATATGACTCAGTGATCAAAAAAGATAAACTTGTGCCATGTGTGGTGACACAGATTGAGCTGGAAGGGATTATGCCAAGTGAAATAAGCAAGAAGGAGAGCGATAATAGAGGTGGTATCACATACATGGAGAGAGAAAACAAACCAAGGGGCAAAGAGAACTTTAAACCCATCTCCTGAGAGCTGACCACAGAGCTGAGGCATTGGGGTGGGCAGGGGTGAGAATGGGGGCAGGAGAGGAACTACAGAGCACTGTGAGTACTTAGGTGATGGGAGAGCCACGGTGATACCACACCTGAGGGGTGGTGTTTTGACACCTGTACTGTCAAAACAGTAACAAGGATGGAAACCAGTGGTACTTCATTAAAAGATACTAAAAGAAAAAAAAAAAGTTTGCTTGCAAATGGCCCCTCCAGAAACTGCCTCCACACCTTTCACATCACCGAACACCCTTCCAACTAGAATTTTCCTTCCAGAACATTCCCCTACTGCTTTGGAAGCTGCTCTACCTTTTCAAGGTGGTTTTTTAAATAAAGGGTGACAGTTAAAAGGTGGAGAGTCCTGCCAGCCAGTCCCTCATATCCAAGAAAGAAGAGTCAGGGGCTGAGGGATGGGGCCCAGGCCCCATGTCTACCATGTTTTAAGATCACTCTGGGGGTAAGGGAGAGTCTGATAATGAAGACTGACCAGGGCCAGTTCAAGTCAGGGTAGCAGGCCAACCCATTCCTCAATTCTACTTTTTTTTTTCCCTTCCAAATTTCAGCTATTAGGAGTTAACAAAAAGCCACTTGGTTCGTGGCATCATCGTCTACCAAAGTTCTCACTGTTGGCTTTTTAGCATAGTCTACCCCTCCTATAGGAGCAGTGCCAGTATTCTGTGGTTTCTCTCTCCAAAAGGCACTTGGATTCACCCTTCCTCTCATCTTCACTGCACCGGGACCTCCTGCTTTCCTTCCTTACTACTGCAACAGCACTTACCTGGTCTTTCTGTCGTCTGTCTTTCCGTTATTTCGGCTACCCCATAGCTATTAGAGCTATTTTCCTAAAACATGCACTGGGTCTTAATAATTCCAACTTAAAATAATAGCCATAGTAAGGAAAATTGGTGGAGCATTCTGATTTCCAAGCACCTCCACATATTTTGTTCATATTAAATTTATGACCAAGTTTAAGGAAGAAACAGTCAGATTGGAACCTCAGACCCACCTTCCCCCAAGCTTGAGCTCCTTGTTCCCCCCACATCTACTGGCCCAACAGCACATTTATATCTTCCTTTATCTTTTCATACATATGAGTCTTCATTTTTCATCTGTGGTCTGAAAGGGTCCAGAAAATTCTAACATGAAGTTATATTTCAAGACCTCAAAAAAGTAACCTGCAATCAGGCTATGAATGGAAGAATACAAGAATCCTTCAGCACCAAGGGTGAGCACCATTACCGCCATCTCAATTTTCCAGTTCAGAAAACTGAATCAAAAGGGAGCTAAGTGGTTCCTCAGAGGGCAAATGTCCAAGGACACAGCCACTAAGGGGAACCAGGATTCTTGGACCTTCCAAATTCCATCTACTTTCTACTCTATTCCCGCCTCCCCATCTCACTAGCCCCTTCTCAATGAAGCACTAACACCTCACATAGCCCTCAAGTAGGATTATCTGCAGAAATGTCTTCTCTATGCAAGAAATCCATCTGTATTTGTAGCGCTAACGTGAAGTCATCACTTCAGCCTTTCTACACAACCCTCACCTTCCATCATTCTTACCCCTGCTGCCTGCATCCTGCAAGGTATCACTCCACACACAGTCAAATTTCTAGAAAGTACAATGTGGGCTTTGGGGCTCAGTCCACCCTGTTTTTTTCCTGTCTGGGCTTCAAAATCCTTCTCCCAGGCCAGGTTGAAAGGTTACCTCTTCTGGCTAGCTTTCCCCTCCTCCACCCCAATCTTCTGGCCTCCTTTCTACCTTTTCTCTATCTCTTTAGAGCACACCTCACAGCAAAAATCAATGTGGTAAGTTTTACATGTGATTTTCTTTCTCTTTTGGGAGAAAACATCATGTGACTTAGCTGACTTTGTGTTCCCCAGACTCAACTAGACTCATCTTACCCTCTTCAACTAGTCTATATGTTCAGACAATCTTTATAATTAATTTTATTAATTAAAATAAGCAGGCTGAGGCCCTCCCTGGTGGCACAATGGGTTAGGACGCAGCACTGCGGCCACTTCAGTAGGAGTTCAATCCCCCACCCCAGAGGTGACCCACATGGTACAGCAGACAGGCCCTGAGCTGCTACACCCAAGTAGAGGGGAAGAGGGGAAGAGCTATGGAGATGACCCTTCTGTTGCTCACCAAGTAACCTATCTATCTTTCCTTCTTCTTCTTCTTCTTTTTTTTTTTTTTTTTGTTTTGTTTTCCCATTAGGAGCCCAGGGCACAAAGCCTGACACTAGGTCCTTTATGACACATCTTACCCTCTTCTTAGTTGGTGTCTGTCATAACTGTATCCATGGCTTATCTCCCTGATTAGGTCCATAAGGTCTGAAACAGAACCTATGCTGTATCATATGCCAACAGGGGGCTGAAAAATTTAATCCAAGGCCTGGCAGGATAACAGATTCCAGCGATTATGGAGCTCAAATATCAAAATCTAATAGTCCTATAATGCTTTTTGGAAACTTTTAATTTAGAAATAAATTTCAAGTACATGATTTGACTCTATTTGCAAAAGCCGTGGGAAATTCAGATCTTCTAGCCCAAGATCACCCAATTATCAGGAAACTGAGCCCAAATTCAAACTAATGTCTTCCAATTCTAGGTTACATGCTATTTCCATAGTCTCAGCTATCTTTCCTGCTCTCTAGATTCAACATTTCAAAACTACAAAAGGGATTTAATTTCAGCCCAAGGCTGAAGAGAATAAAGACATAAGAATAGAGTTTTATGTTTCTTTTAAAGAAACTGTTTTTAATTGGACAGCAGCATAAAGTCCATTGCTCTGTGTTAGGCTATTAAAGACCTAGAATAAAATTCTTAGCAGCAGACAAGCTAGTGACATGCTGCTTGACTGTGTTCATATCACAGTCACTACTTACATGTATCATTACATTCTGGAGAGGAAAAGGACTAACAATATTCAGCTCTACGACCTAAAAATTAGTGACTAACCTAACCTTATATTCAAAATTTCCTGTTATTTTGTATATATATAAATACATGCTTAGACAGATCCAGGAAAAGGAAGAAAGCTACCCAACTCCCAGCCCTATTCTTCTTCACTGAGCCCTCTTATTTCCCCTTCACTAAAGACCTTGGGGATTCTTCAGAGGCTCATGCTTTTGCAAAGATTAAGGCAAATTATCATTTCTTTAGTCATCTAGAAGACACCTTCCAAGCTTCCCACTGGAAGGTACCTCAGAGAGCGGCTTGATGAATTTCTCAATTTATCCATTTTGCTTGGCTCAAGTAACAGAGTTTATTTCTTTTTGTTTTTAAAAAATGTAATATATATAAATATATGTATGTATGTATATGTATACACACACACACACACACATATATATATATTTACATCATTCTTCATTCTCATATAATATATGCTTTATCATCTTGTGTATGGCCCCCATGAAATTCCCACCACCAATTCACCTGTGTACCATCACGGTAATCTCTTGTGCTCTTCCTACGCATTTTGATCCAATTTCCTTCTCTCCCGATCCCAGGAATGTCTTTGGTT